ACTCGATAAAGTCACCGTCACAGAACTTCAATCCATTATCCGTTCTGAGCTTTTTGACTTTTCTCCCTGTCCGGGTTTCAACAAGAGTTTTCCACTTCTTAAAAGTGGGCAAAGTCTCATTTTTATACCTGAGAAAATAAACCCAAGCTTTGTAAGAAAAATCATCAATAATAGTCATCATATAACGGCGTCCTCCATAAGAGGGAACTTTAGAAGGCCACCAGAGGTCAGAATGAATATAATCAAGAATACCCTTTGTACGATGAGTTGCAATAGAGAAACATACTTTTTTCTGTTTTCCAAAGACACAATGTTTACAAAACTCTAACTTACAGATACGTTGATTACCAAGAAGACCTTGCTTGCTCAAAAGATGCATGCCTTTCTCACTCATATGGCCCAGGCGCATGTGCCATAATTTGGTGGCATCATTATCAAGCATAGAAGAAGATACAGTTGCTGAACCTGTCACAATAGAACCTTGCAAGAAATATAAAGTACCAACTCAGTTACCTTTCAACAAAATGAGAGAACCTTTTGATACCTTTAGGACTTCACCTTCAGATGAATACTTGAACCCAAGAGATTCAAGGGTACCAAGAGAGATGAGATTCTGCTTTAATTTAGGAATAAAGCAAATATTAGTCAAAGTCCTGACAACACCATCATGAGCCTTGATCTGAATAGTACCTATTCCTTCAACTTTGCATTGGGTATCATTAGCCATCAAGACAATACCACCATTAACTGGTTCAAAAGTGGTAAATAAATCCCTATAAGCACACATGTGGTATGTGCATGCAAAGTCATGAAGTCACTTATTTTTGCTTCTTTTGTCAGAAGAGACAACAGATGACATAACATCTCCATTATAATTAGTCTCAATATTAGCAGCTTCAAAATGTTATTTACCTTTTTCCTTTTTTTTGTTTATTTTCTTCTTTTTTTCTTTAAGATAAAACAATAAGAAATGTCATGCCTATATTTTTTGCAATAACGACAGATAGTGTTGGATTGTCATTTCCTAGATTTAGATCTACTCTTTTTGTGACTAGTACTCTCTTTTACTGGAGTTCTACCTCTAACACATAGACCTTCACCCTTGTCCTCAGAATGAATTTCAAGATCAAATTTTTCTTTAGACAATAAATTAGATTTAACATCTTCAAAGGATAAGGTGTCATTATTACCATACAACATAATTTCTTTGAAGTGTTTGTAGGTAGAAGGTAAAGAGACAATCAACAAAACAGCTTTATTTTCATCATCGATTTTAATATCGATATTTTGTAGATCCATAATAATAGAATTAAACTCATCAAGATGAGATTGAATGTGAGTACCTTCTATCATACAGAACTATATAATCGCTCCTTGAGACGAAGCTTGTTGGCGAGGCTTTTAGTCATATACAAAGTTTTCAACTTTAACAACAATTTCGCGGAGGTGGTTATGTCGGCCACCTCACGTAGAACCTCATTGGATAAGCAAAGTTGGATTACTAAAAATGTCTTTTCATCCAACTCGTCCCATTGTTCATCGGTCATGGAAGTCAATTTTTTTTAACTTTCCATCTAAAGCTTTCTTTAATCTGTTGAGTAAGAATGACTCTCATTTGAACTTTCTAAATAGAAAAACTAATCTTACCATCAAACTTCTCAATGTCAAATTTTGTAACGGTATACATTTTTAATATTTCCAATTAAATAACTGCTCTGATACCACTTGTTATGGTATCAACGCAATGCAGAAGACTGGATCGAATTTAATTGAAAATAAAGAGAAGTAAGAGAATAATGGAGACAAGATTTTAACATGGGAAAAACTCCAAATCAGAGAGAAAAACCCACGGACGACGACGAGCAAAATAATTCCACTATGTAAAAGGGAGAGTACAAGAAGTCCTCTAAAATTATGAGGACAAAGAGTAATAAATCTCTCTATTTTTCTCTTAATAAATACTCTCTCAAAATAGAATAAGAACTACAAAATAACACTTTCAATTTTCTCTCAGTGTTAATTGATCCATGAATGATCGTATATCAACCTCCGTTGCTTCATTGCCTTTTATAAGTAAAATTTGCTACAGTGATTTGTTATTTTTTTTCAATGTTGCTACAGTAACTTACTATAGCATTTTGACAAAGTGAGCGATGCCTACACCGACGCTTATGCCTTTGCTGATAAAGTTGAAAACTGAGACATCCTTTTCATTTTGATTAAAAGTGTGTGTGTTCAAGAATTTTATTAATAAAGTCTTTAATGAGAGATCAAATCAAAACATTCATGTGTACCAAAACATGTAACTTTGTAGACTAAAGAAACATAAATTTGAAGAATACGTAGCAAAAATGTATTCACTGAAGTAGCAAGTGCATGATTAGCAATAACTGATACAACAACTACATAATAATATCAGACCAATGCTTAAAGATTTATAACTATGTTGTAATTGACCTGCATTCACCAATCAAGCGCATCCCTAAAAACCCCCCACAATAGAATGAGTCCATGGAGATGTCCCTCTCATTCGCCACAACTCTAGAGCAGCACCTTAATCTTATCCTGTCGTATACAGCAACCATGCTCATAATAACTCAAAATAGATTCCATCTCACCAAGACACACAACAGTATCATTTTCCACCGTCTTTTTTATGCTTCATAGGACCATGATGGACCAAATTATCCAAATCCATGGTAGAAAGCACACACTAAAATCTTATATGCAATTAGAAATGTCAAAAAGACCGAACATAATTTCTCATCACATTCTATGTTTAAGGCATACTAGATTTTGAATTCTACATAAAATATATCAGTAACTTCACCCTTTGGTATAGTGTTCTGTCCATTGCTGCAAAACATCTAGCTTCCTTCTACCTCAAATTTGACTTTCCTTTAGTTCACTATGACGTATATAATATGGATTCAAGTTAATTACGAATTGGAACAATACAGATATAATATAGTCAATCAAACTTCGTTTAGCTTCTTTCACCATCTTTATCTATGCTTGCTGATATCAAGAGTTTCTAAACTTACTGATTGTCGATTTTCAGTTACTGTAAAGACACATTAAGTTGAGGAGAAATTACTCTTTCGAAGTTTCACATCATCCTCTATTACTTTCTCTTTTACCAATTTATCGACACAATAACAAATCGACGATAAGATCAAAATCTCCATGCAGAATCATTCTTGTAAAGGTAAAGCAGGAAAAAGAGAGAAAAAGAAAAACAATAAAATCAAGAAACTAAGGCAAGATTCATACTATTATAAAAGCAAACCTGAAGTGAGTATAAGCTTCAATTCTTTCAAGAATTTGTCATCTTCTTACATACTTTCATACCAAGATTTCCGGAACTGGTGCTTAAAATATCTAGAAACGGAAGAAATTTTGGATTAAAACTGTCCAGTTTCACATCTATATCAGCCTTACTCATGACTTATGTTTTGCTTCTTTACTCAGTTTATCTGCTCAAGAATAAAATCAACCATAACTTGTGATAAACAAAACTTCGTGCAAGAATCTTTACAGTAAAGTAATAAAAGATTCAAAAACCTTACGACCATCAAATTAAATTCGTAGAAGATAGAGGCATTTGAATTGGTCTAAACTCTTAGGGCTATGGAATTCTATTCTTTATTTTGAAGATTGGAATCAGACCTAAAAATAGGAACCAAGGCTTAAACGCCAACGTCCTCTCTCACTTGTGAAATGAGAAATATTTTAGCGCACCGCGGGATGGTACTTAGACGATAATCCCACCGACTTAGTCTTTTTTTATATTTTTAAAAAATATTGATTTAAAATGATTAAGAAATTAAAGTTTCATTCGATTGGTTCAATCGATTATTACAAAATATTTTATTTGATTAAACATAAAATTAATAAAATAAGTTTGTTCAATCGGATCAAGTTTAAATGTACTCAATAAAATGTAGTTTAAACTTTAAATTGTGAGCTTAACTATATTTGGGCCTTTTTAGTTTGATCTAATTTAGACTTAGCTTATAAAATTCACAAAACAATCAAACTTTACTTGTTTTGAGCTCTGTTTTTGCAAATTTAAATTAAATTAAATTTAATTTAATTTAATTTTTTATTTGACTCAATAAAGTTCACTACCTGCAATGGGTTGACCAACTATTATTAATATTTGTTAAAAATATATGAAAAATATTTAATTTGTTCCTTCATAATTTTATATATTATTATTTTTATTCTTACTTATCCGTTTAGACAAAGAATTATAAAGACCAAAATATTTAATCAAATTTATTTTAATTTTTTTAACACTTAAATTATTCAAATAATATAAATATTTTAAATATACAAAGGAGCGTTAGTAAAAAAAACTGATATTTAATATTATCTATCTATCTAATATTAATATAAAATGAAATAATATATTAACTATACTATAAATTAAAATATATATCCAGCTTAAAAAATATATACACATAACGGTGTAAACTTAACTACATTATAGTATTAATATAATTTTCAATAATATATTAAAATTAATTAAAAAAACTTGTGCAATACATAGATATTAGATCAGTTTGTTCAATATTTTTATCGATCAACAACTGTCGGGAGTTAGGACATAACAATCCATAATCAAACCAAATTAAATCAATTTAAAATTGATATATAAACATCTTAAGAAGAATTAAAGTTTGCTTGCTTTCATCTACGTGAATACATTTATTCTCAACCCCACTTAATTATTTAAAGTAATAACAATGATAAAAAAAAATAAAAAAAAACATACACACACACTATAACTATTCACACGAAAGTGGGCACCAAATTAACAATTGACATAATATATATATAGTCTACCATTACTTGAGATTGTTCTTGTAGCTACACCGTCCAACACAAAAAGAGGAAAGAAAGACATGGGTTAGGTGGCTTTTGTCTTTTTTTCTCTTACTTTAGACTCTTTTTGCTGAATGGTGCAACCTTTTTCAGTGTAATTAATTAGGTGTTTATATGTCAACTGGAACAACTCGAAGTGGTTGAGCCTTTTGTAAGGTAATTCCAAATTTTTCGCCCATGTCAACATCTTGTGGTTTAATGCCATCTTCAAGTTTCCAATCAAAGGAATTGATTAGTGAACCCAATATCAAAAGCAACATTCTAATAGCCAACATCATGCCAGGGCATATGCGCCTTCCAGCACCAAATGGTGCAAGCTCAAAGTTTCGACCTTTGATATCAATATCTGAGCCCAAAAACCTCTCTGGAGAGAACAAAGTTGGATTCACCCATAAGGTTGGATCCCTACCAATAGTCCACACATTAACTAGCACTTGTGCATCCTTTGGGATGGTGAAGCCACATATGTCTACATCTCTTTCTGCCTTTCGAGGAAGTAAGAAAGGAACTGGAGGGTGCAAGCGCAAGGTCTCTTTTATGATTGCTTGCAAGTAAGGGAGTTTAGCAATATCTGATTCTTCTACAGGCTTACCTTTGCCTATTTCTTCTTCCAACTCTTTTTTTGCCTTTGACATGATCTCTGGGTTGAGTACTAACTCAGTCATTGCCCATTCAAGAGTTGAAGTTGTTGTATCTGTTCCCGCAACAAACAGATCCTATAATTCATAATTTCACGGTGAGTGAGTTACATAGGAGTGGTAATTACAAAAAAGACAAAAACATTAATTATGACTTTAGTTCTTCAAACACTTTGATTGCTAGATGATTTCTTCAAAATTTAAATTGTCCTCGTGTTACTTTGTAAAAAAAATTTCATTAATTTAGTTCTTCAGAAATATTTTGACATCAATAGTTTCTGAAAAAATGTATCACTACTTACATGTTTGTGATACAGTGACACTTCAAACTTTGAAGGTATTAATCTAATAGAAAAAATTAACATTGTAAATCTTTAAGAAAGATTGATTTAGTGTGCAATAATTTTAACATGTATTTAAAAAATTAAAAAAAATTATTCTCATAAAAATTCTTTTTAACTTATTACATTAAAATAAGTTTTTTATAAAATTTATTCCATCAAATTTCATTATCAAATTTATAGTTCAAGCACTCATGTAAAAAAAATTTAATTGAATATTAAATTAAGCTTTAAATCCACGCTAATCCTTAGAAAGAAAAAGAAAGAAATTAATATACATACATGTGCCAAATGTTCAATCATTGTTTTGTCAATCATCTTGTTGTCCTTAGAAATGTTGAGCAAGGCTTCCAACATGTCATTGTGCGTGTCAGAACCTGTGCTTTCCCTCAACTTCAACCGTTGCCTAATCAAGCAGTCGAAGATGTCCAACACCTTGGCAACATTCTTAGCTTGTTGTCTTTTCACACCCTGCGGATCAACCATCTTCAGCACAGGGAAAAAATCTGCTATGTTTGGTGATCCAACAAGTTTTGTGATATTGGTCACCAAGTCCTTGAACTCTCCCACTTTCCCTTTAGACAAAACCAAGTCCTCAGAGAAAATGGTGTTTGATAACAAATTTATGGTGGTCTTGAATGCTTCTCTTCCAATATCCACTGCTTCACCAACTTGGCTACTTTTGTACACATCATTGAGGAGTTGTTGCACTTTTTTGCGTCTAACTTCTTGGCTTTCATCAAGGGTCTTGTGTGCAAATAGTTGGCCATTGCATATTTTTCTCAACTCTCGCCACAATGGTGAAACGGGTAAGAAGGCAAGGCTATAGTGTTCATGGTTGAGAACTGACACTGATTGAGGAATGGGACGGTTTGACAAGGATTGGTCATGTGTTAGGAGCACTTCTTTGGCCATCTCAGCAGAAGAAATTACTATAGTGGTTACTCTACCTAGCTTGAGGCTCATCATAGAACCATGAATCTTTGCAAGCTTGGCCAAAGATTGGTGTGGCTTTTGCCCAAGTTCAAGGAGGTTTCCTATGATGGGAAGGCGTGAAGGGCCTGGTGGAAGTTTGTGGTTTGGTTTTGTGGTTGTTCTTGCAAGGAATGAACCAATGGTGACACATGCCAACAGAAGGAACAATGTACAAATTGTGAAGTCCATCTTTGATATTGTAGTGAATTGGTACAAATTAATGAGAAGGGAAATTGAGGTCGTCTTGTTGCATGGGATTACTTGGGTACTCTTCTTATATACATGTCTTCACCAACAAGATAAAATAAAATAATGCATATTGTTATCAAAAGTCCAAGTCAAGTAAATGGCAGATTCAAAGAACTTCGTTCCATGTAGAGGAAAAAATTGTAAACGAGATTAATGGATACACACACACACACTTGGGGCTCCCCTAAACTTTGCAAGGAAAGAGACATTGAGCCAATTCAAAACCCAAAATGATTTAACTTAATATATTAATTTACCTTTGAGTTATAATTTTTTAATAATAGTACTTTTAACATTTATATTAAACAAAAAAAAATAAGTGTTACTTTTTTCTATTTTTCATTTATTTTATATTTTAAATTTCTTATAATTGATATTTTAATTTTAAAATTTTCTCTCTCTAGTTTAATCTTATTTAACACAATAAAATATTTACTATTAATAATTAAAATATTTATTTAGCATTAATTTAAAATTAAAAATATTTTAATTTAATAATAACTGGATAATGAACAAACTGGCTAGTGTAAAAAGTGATGTTGAGTGTATGAGTCACTCGTACAGCAATAACAAATCCACGATTCACTTTCCTTGGTGGAGTGGTTATGATGTGACAGCGGAGATGGGTTTTTTTCTTCCACTGTTTGAAAAAGCAAAGCTATCAATAGAATTGTTGAAAATAAAGAGTTGATTTGATTGAGTTAATTTGATTTAGAAATTAAACTTCATGCGTGTTTAGAATACCTTGACAATGAATTACTAAAGTGAATTCCTATAATTGAAAAAAACTGTAAATTAAGTCAACTTTGATTTTTCTCTAGAGAGAAAAAATTGATAATAAATTTGGTATGAATATTAATTGATTCAAAACCCAGACCAATTCAGATTAGCCTTTTGGTATGAACATTAATTGAAGGTTACTTAGCATGTAGCGGTTGTCACAAATTATCCCTATTCCGCTTGGTAGAATTATATCGTATGACAAGAGCTAAATGGGTTTTTCAACGGTTTGAAAAGAAAGCCATTAAAATAATATTGACATTTCGAAATTAAAGAGGAAAAACTTAGCATTTGACTTTTGGTGAATATCAATTGTTGACCAATTAGGATGAAGATACCAATACTAACCCAAGTTGTTTGGTCAAGACCCAAAATGGTACTAAAAAGGAGCATTTAGCTGCTATGTGGAAGTGTGCTTAAGGGTTAAAGATGCACTTCAATGAACATATGAAGAATACCGGGTCTTGTCACAAGGACTTGAAGAACCAATTTAACAATCAACATAAAGACTCATTCCTCAGAAATGTACCCTCTTACCGCGTCCCCGCCATTTCTTGCAAAGATGTTGCTTCTATCAACATGAAAATGGAATGTGAACTTCATTTTGTAGAGTAGTGATGAATTTGCATGGCCATTGACTTGGTCTCGTGCATGTTCATATGTGAAAGGAGAACCTATATATGGCCGCATTCTCTCCTGCATTAAGGATAAACCCATTCTTCATGTTGGATATCTTGCTTGGTGCCAATTCAACCCAACAAACAAATGTATACACGTCTGTCAAGAATCAAGATCAAATTGATACCAAATATTGAGTTGAGTAAAATACATCTCTAATATTTCTTTTATTAAACATAAATCTTATTAATTTAAATATTGATTCTTATAATAATATTATCAACCTCTTATATATAAAATTTTATATAATTTAGACACTAATAAACATATAATCTATTAGATTATTTATATTTTGAATAACATTTTAATATTAAAATATAGAAAATAAAATAAAATATTAATTAATATTTAAATTGTGTAAAATTTTATATACTTAATATTGTTTTTAAGAGCTTTAAATTAAACGTTTGAATTGATAAAATTTATTTTTAATAAAAATTATTGAACGTGTCATTTTATTATATTTAATTTATAATAAATTTTATAGGCTAAGTTGATATATTATAAGTTAATTTAATATATATGAATAAATTTTTGTAAGACATTTTGAAATAGTGAGTGAATATCATTCAACATATAGATCAATAAGTATAAATTGTTCTAATTTAATATGTAATCTTAAATTTAAATCTCATTCAATGCAGTTATATTAAATATTTAAAAAATTATTATATACAATGATCTTACTTAACTCGAACAAATTATCTTCGATAAAAGATAACAATTAATGTTTCACTCTATATTTAACTTGGGTGATTTTAGCGTCCCTCTATCTTTTCATTAAGCAAAATAAAGGAATTTTTCCTACCGTTGATTTTATGTATTTTTAATCCAATGGCTAGGAATGACTATGATACAGTGAAGGATAAAAAAGTAAATGCTGCGATTTCACTCATCGAAGAACCTCTTCACTATTCTCCTTGATTTCGTCGGGACAGTATTAGCGCAAGCGACTCCGGTCCTAATAGTGAGGATTAATCCATTGGCTTGGCTTGCTCTATTCCGCATTGAGGAAGGAAGCTGATTACGCCTTAAGAACCAGAGAGACATATGAATCGATCAACTGTCAACCCTCTTGCATTTGAGAAATGCTTTCAGGAAATGTGCATCCTATTCCAGCAAGAAAACATATATAGCAATCTTCACTCCTCTTGCAAAGCTCGAGTTACCATTATGTTATAAGCCTATAACGTTACCATTGAAATTAGTCCACAATGAGAAACTCATGTGAAGTAAGAGGGAAGATCCTCGACCGAGGGGAAGTGTAACGAAGCCAGGGGCTGAATCAGGAAACAATCTCAATCGGGTCATCGAAGTCCGGTGTTATGGAGTGGAATGATCGAAGAGGAAGAAGAAACCGGTGGAATGCACTAGGATGCATGCATATGTTGCTCACGATGGACATAACCACTCTCATGGCCATAACGCATGTATTAGGCATTATTCATGAACAAAGCCACGCACACAGAGTGAACACCTAAGAGAGAAGAAAAAAGTGGAAGAGTATATTTACCTTCTTACCCTTTATTAATGGTGAATTCTAATATTCTTCCTTCTTCTGTAATAAGCGTGTTGGTCTAAAAGCATTACTTTTGCATAAGTGATTCATATTTAAGTATGAGTCACTGATGGAAGTAGTTTTAAAATGGATAGCTAAGATTAGATATTAAAAAAGTTAACAAATGTTGAGAAAAGTTATGAGCGAGGCAAATGAAGAGGGGTAATAACGTAAAACTGACATTTTAGATTTTGCATAAATCAATCTACATAACGTAAAACATGTGTAAAATTTTTAAATTTTTTTGGATAAACCAATCTGCAAATATCAACATATAAGTGTATAAAGTCCAAAACACAGAATTCTAATATCGATGCATTATATAATTTTGAATTGTATGTAATTAAGTCTAATTTATTATCCTTAAAATTTAAATATACAAACATGTGTTTATGAAAATGGAATTGCTTAGAGATGAAAATATGATATTTCCTCATCAGAACTCAGTAGTCTTTTCTTGTTTTTTTCTGTGGCTTCCTCCACAATTTCCTCTGAATTGCATGCATTGCCCTATCAATCAAAATTGGGTTTCAATTTGCATAACAAAAAATAGGCTGAGATATGGCTGAAAAAATCTCATAGGAATGGGAAAGACCTCTGACAAAACTAAGAAAAAGATGAAACGTGGTTAAAAAAAAGCAAAAATAGAGAAAACATACAAAATATATTTTTTTTTTAAATGCAATTTTCTACATTGGTTCTCTCATAAATTAGATGTAGAAAATATTTTTAAAAAAAACACACAACTTTCTACTTTAATTCTCTCATAAAGTTATTTTTTTTACGTAACTACTTCTACATTGGTTCTCTCAAAAAAATGATACAAAATGTATTTTTAAAAAAATAACTTTCTACATTAGTTTCGTGGAAAGAACTGATGTAGAAATTATTATTTTTTTATGTAGTAGTTACTTCTATATCGGCTATGTTGTCTAACTGCTGTAAAAGATATTGGGTCTATCCTATAAGCATTGTTAAATGATGAAAGTGTGGATTTGTATGCATTACCATTTTTGATACCTTAGTTTATATCACATTTTATTGTATTTGTACATCATAAATGTCTCCATCTTTGCAGAAGAAAGATAGAAGTGAAGAAACTATTTTACCATTGATGAACATTGTCTTTTTTTGTTTTTGTTTTTAATATTTTTCTGTAAAATGTTGTACCTACATTGTCCAAATTTGCTACTCTGTTCACCTGCCAGTCCATGGAGCTTATAAAAATGCAGTGCACCCAAGTAAATCAGAAATGAGATGAATATAGAAGTTAAATGAGCATCACACACCCAAAAAGTGCTCCACATAGGTTTTTCTCAAAATCTCCTCAGTAACTAAGGTAAACAACATAAAAAAAAAACACTTATTTCTATACCAGTTCTGGAAGAGCGAAGAAAAAGAGGATGTTTTATTAATGAGAATAAGAAAGTGTTTATAGTCGTAGCAATATAAACAAGAATACTTATTTGAGCCGTAGGAACATGTATATAGAGAATATGAGAATTTTCACCATGTTGAAGATCAAGAAAGTTTCATAATGACTACAATATTGAATTTACTAATATATCCTTTCAAACATATTACTTATATCATCGATTACTTCTCTTTCAGTTTTTACCGTTAAATTTTCATCGACAATTCACAATATTTCAACTCTTTTTAAAAAAATATATATATATATCTTACTTATTACAAAAGAATGGAAGATATTAGAATTTACCTTCATTAATCCACTATCATCTACAACAACTTTCAATTTTCATAGTTAAAAACACATGAAATTTATGGTAAAGAATGGTCAAAAAAATTTGCTTAATAAAAAGATAAAGAAGACGTTAGAATCACCCATTTAACTTACCCTAAATTTTATACATGGTATAAAGTTTATATATTAAAAAAAAATTTAGAGTGAGTTATGAATTTATGAGTTATTATTTGTGTAGATTGCTTAATTACGAGGACATTGAGGTTTTATTTTTCATCGGTGATTGCACTGGTTTAACCCAAAGCATAACTCGTCTTCCATTAAAGCTCCATTCCAAGTTAAGGTTCTGTGAGCAAAATTAGCTGAAAGAATGTCAATCATTTCTTGCTAGTCGCTTATGATATCAAAAATTGAAACAGTAAGTCCCAACAAAAATACTAAAGTTGCTTGTCTGCCTTTCAGTTAAGTGGTCTATGTTGGGTAGTATATGTACATTGGTCAATGTTACTATATAATTCCCGGAGTTAGGAATGTTGCCTAAAATATTTGCAAGCTTGCAGCCAATATGATTAGTAACACTTTCAATTTGGATGGTCATGGCTTGCCAACATTGATTCACTAACCGCAATCTTTAAACCAAAACCAAATTTTTAAACAATGTCAAATACCGATTTAAGGGGCAAAAAAAATTGGACAAGAGTGTCTTTCTGTTTAGGATAAGAAAAATTTTCTAAGTTAAAAATCATCTTAAAGGAAATTACATTTTGACAAAATTTTGAGGGTCAAGAAGGAGCCAAAAATAGGCCTGAACATAAGAGAATATTTGAAGATTATCTAAGACCTTTAGTTTTAATTAAAAGGGACACATTTCGAGCTATTTTAGGATATTTTTGTCACATTGTTGATTTTTCCTCTAAACTGCTTGAAAGATAAAAAATATTTTAAGTCCACAAAACTGAAGGTTTTTTCGAGAAATTTTGAGGAGTTTTCAAGTCACTAACACCCAGAACTACTCGAAAAATAGAACTGGCAAGAAAATATTTTAAGTCCACAAAAACTGATGGCTTTTCGAGGAGTTTTGAGGAGTTTCTAAGTCCCTGACACCCAAAACTGCTTGAAAAACAGGAAGTGGTCAGAAAATATTCTAAGTTCACAAACCTGGTTAAGCTCCAGATTTCCTCCAAAATTGCTCAAAAAAAGGAAGTGGTCAGAAAATATTCTAAGACCACAAACCTGGCTGAGCTCCAGTCCTTCCAGAATTGTTCGAAAAACAGAAATGAGCAAAGAAAATATTCTAAGTCCACAAGACCAAGACAAGCTCTCAAAACTCCAAAAATTGCTCGAGAAACAAAAATGAGCAAAGAAAATATTCTAAGTCCACAAGACCAAGACAAGCTCTCAAAACTCCAGAATTGCTCGAAAAGAGAAGTCAAGAAGAAATTATTCTAAAGCCATAATACTAAATGAGTCACTTAGGTTTCTCCCAGAAATACTCGAAAGATAGAAAAACAAGAATCTTGATAGGTCAAGTCATTGCAAAATCTAAAAGCGGTTACCAGTAGTTATCAACATTCACCGCTACGCAAAGGAGATCGTGGGCGATAGCGATTACGAAAGAAGCCCCAATCAACAATATGATCACAAGCAATCGTGGATAATGGGCATCAACAGTTGAAGGAAGTTACTAAGAAGTACCCGCAAAAGGAGAAGAATAGTGGTGGTTTTCATGTCTATAAATACTCCAAAGCGCCATTTTACAGAGGACGACTTTTTGCACCCTGACACCGCACCTAAATTCTCTGAAACGTTGAAACCATGTACCGTGCCAGACACCAGCTACAAGGAGACCCACGGTGGCCACTGTTCGCCGTTATGAGGAGTTGTACGTTTACATTCCAACATATTTACATTTTCGTACCTTTACATTCTGTATTTCAATTCAAGTTTCTTTGTTTGTTTGTTTGCTTTTGTTCTTGTTTCTGCAATTCGTTTCTTATTTCATACTTTTCTTGTAACGAACCTCTACGTTGTGATTCAGTTTTACGCATTTCATATTCACTATTCGTGCTAAATTGCTTAATTTATGCGTCTATTTCACTGTTACGTTAACAACATACTTAAAGAAACTAAAGAGGACCTAATCTAGTTCTCAGATTGATCTTTGGATTATTTATTTATAAACTGTCATTTTTCACCGTAAACACTTTCTTTATATTTATTTAATTTTTAACCAAACCCAAATCTTCAACAAAACTATAGGTCTTTGTACCTTAGTTCTCAGCAACAATTCAAACATCAAACATAAGTCAACGTCAAGAAAATTAACTATTATAATATTTTATTTACCTTTTGAGAAAATAATATATAGTTTTAAATTTTAAAGGCAAGTTGAGGAATGAAGAAATAAAGTAGGTTTCCTTTAGATGCAGCTGTTTTGGTAATTCTGATTTTCTCACGATCCTTTTTATTTCACAACTTTTTACATCTGTTGTTTTTATTTCTTTTTCGTTTGACACGACTCATTACATCTCTTTCTTTTTATCTCTTTTTAGTTTTTCTTTCTTCTCCGCAAACGGCTCATACCTCATCCTGGAGTATGAGACAATCATTCATGATATTTGTGAAGTCATTATTTTTGTTTTCTTTGGTCTTGATATTTGTGATGCCATTAGAGCGTAAATATCTTGTTTGTCGACTATAATTGGGCCTTCTTTTAAAATAAAACGGTTAAATGTATCAAGAGTAGGTCAAGAGTTTTTTTATGGTTAAATTCATTCCATCTTCAAGTTTTAAAGAAAAGTAGCCGTAAATGAACAAGAAAAACAACACTGGACATGTGGATTTTCCACGGCGAATAACTGCTTCAAAATCTAAAAGACAAGGATGGCTGTCATTATCTTGCTGAGAAAAACAGAAAAAGTGTACTGGAACAAAGGTTGTCAAATGACAAAGTCATCTTAGGTATTTTCTAAACATATGATACACGTTTAAGATTAGTGTATACAAAAAAAACAAATAAAAACTAACTGAAAAATAAAAATAATGATATTATCATGGTCAAATTTTAGTAGTTAAAATAATAATTTAATTTTAATATGGTGTGTGTAAATATTTTTATATTATCAACCAATTAAAATATTACAGCAATTAATTTTTTTTGTGTATAATAATTTGTGATTGAATAATAGCGTAACATTGTATTTAAATTAAATTCTTAAAATAATACGATCCATATACACGTCAGACAATGCGATGCACGAGGCAGAATCTAATATATTCAACCCAGCTGTAGTTCCATCATAATAAGTTTAATATTCAACCCCTTCAAATTAAAAATAATAATGATCATAGAAGACAATATATGGCAATTCCACCAAGGGATATTGTTAGCCCTTCTTGTGTTGCAAATAATTCACACCACTGTTTGAAAATGACCTATATGCATGAAATTAACTGTGCATTTGCATTAGCATTTAGATTCACGTAAAATCCACTAGACATAGATTTATTTAAACGCTACAAGATATAGTTTTCACCTGTGTTTAAACGTAATTTCATAGATTCAAACATGCAATTAAATGCACTTATTCCAAAAGTGTGTTAACTCTAGCTAATAATCCACTGTTAAGGAGTCAAGTTACAACCTCTATCAAATGTTTTCGGTACTTCTGTCTTGGATGATGCGATACCTTATGAAATAAGCTTTTTTATATTTGCGAACTATTAAATTCTTGTTTTAGGGACATGAGATGTGAATCAATAGACAGTAAAAATAACTCGAGAAAAATGTAATATGCAGGCAGTAGAATCCATTGTAGAAGTCCTGTGACATTGACACGGTTTCTCTACATTGGTGCAAAGTTCTTAGGCACACATAAGGATTTGGAAATTGGAATGTTGATTGAAGTGAAAAAAAATTCGCAGTTTTTTAACCAGGCAATGAGTTAACGATTGATCATTTGCTTGATAATTAGATGAGGATGACGCAAGGATAAAACTGCGTACCATAAGGCGATGTTATGCCAATTGGAACCCCAAAGGATTTTAAGACCCAAAAATTGAGACATTATAAAGCACAAATAGAGAACACCAAGACATCTTTCAACATATTCTAAAATGAAAATTTAATGTAAATAACCTCCTAATCAAGTTGTTAACTCTGAGAGTCAAACGTAAACTGTGGAATGTCTATAAACTCCTCATGTAAAAAACAATATTTAAAAGTTCATAATAATGAAATAAATTTCAATAAAAAAATAGTTAAAATCGCACTCAAATAGTCAAATCATACAATGATAAGGTAATTTTGGTGTCATAATTATAGATCTGATGTTTCACAACTTACCGAAAGAGAAGAAAAGTGATGCTCTCATTCCGAATGGTGGTATTTTGGTTAAAAAGAAAATGTAATTTTACTTGTAAAGCTCATAAAATTGGTTGTAAACTCACGAGCTTACTTGAATTCACCTGAGTTTAACCAAAAACAAATTTTGTATACGATTTCCTTGTCTAAATTCATAAACCCATACGAATTTACTAGTTAAAACGAGAGTTTAACAACCACACTCCTAAGTGACGTTTCATTTAACAAACAAGTTCAGTAAAATAGCAAATGATTAATATTTGAAGAATTTAAAAGACAACAATAACTGAAAACACTATTATAACTAGTTTTGCGTTGGTATTGATTATAGTTGTGGGGATGAAGCTTACATTCTTAACGTACGTAGCATATAATTGCCAAAGGCCCAAAGCTTTCTCTGAAGTTTTTAACACCATTCAAAAATGGATTTGACCAAAAGAAATTCCATGGATAATCTAACTAAGACCAAACACTTCGGCTTGATGAATATGATGAACGTTGCCAAAAATCGGATGAATATGATGAACAAATAAAAAAAATGTTTCCCTCCGCTTGGTGCTTGAAATAAATTAAAAAAAAAAAAAAGGCTTTCCTTCCAAAATTTCCGTCCACAAACATTTCTTTCAACGAAACAGACCCATCTCAATTATTCCAAAAAAATGTCTCAATCATTTGTTTTCATGTAAGAACTAATGTTAATATAGAAGAGGATATGGAAATTTAATCCTATTCGCCAAATGTTAGCTAAAGATTCATTCCTGGAATATATCATGTTACAAATTCAAATGCCATTTTCTTTGAACACCCATCTCAATCAACTGGACTTCTTAATGTCCAAGGGCCTAATAAGAACCAAAACCTCACCTATCTTCAGTTCCTTAACTAGAAGCCACATGCCTGTAGAGGCAACAATATAGCTAGTCAACTGCAGCATGCTTAGTCTCAAAACAATCAGTAGGAATCCTGGCCAACACACAGGTTTATATTTTCACTCACAGAAGCAAGTGTATTCATAACTGCCTAAAACATGTGGAGAATATGATTGCGTTGTTAGATACCTGCAAGCATGCTGAAGACAAGTCTGGAATCAGAGGAAGCAAAGGGGAAGGGTCTATACCATTAAGTAATAGAGAAGTAACTTATTCAGGGATGTTATACATGCCACTCACCACCCATAACATCTCCCCCCTACCCTTGCTTGAATGAAGTATGCATTGCATTTAACTCCCGTGTCTGGAAGTATGAAAAGTTGCAAAGTTAACAGCATTGGCATGAGTGAGCAAGTAAAACAGAATGCACTGTGACAAATGAAATAAAGATGTGCTATATCCGCAGCCATGAAAAGGCACATTTTATGCAGTTGTTGACTGTGGAGGGTGTAGGGAGTCTGAAAGAAAAGACAAGTATTCCACAGTCAAGAGAGCTCCATTTGATAAGTGACAGGAAAATGAAAAAAAAAAAAAAAAGAGGGTGGTTGGGGGGGAGGGGGGGGGGGTAGAACGTGTGTCAGTGCAATGTGTAAACAGATATAAAACATGAATATGATCAGGGATGTATCAGCAAGTTCTATAATTCAGGTCAATATATAGATCAAGTCATTCTTCATTTGAATTGTGCAGACTCTGCACCAGATGAACTGTCGAAATTATAGGCCTTAGATAAGGATAAGAGAGAAAAGAGGTTCAGACAGAGTTATATGAAATTGGAGTCTTTTGATATGAAGTTAAATATAAATAACTAACATCTATATATAAAAATAATTAGATCAAGTAAGGAAATTGATCAGAAAACAAACAGAAAATTAGGAAACAGCTCCTATGATTGAAGGACTAATTGATCCTATAATATTTAAATGATATTCTGATATTTTGTAGATATTTCAATGTGAACACGACTCTAGTTTACGGTATCATGCCTTGAAATCATGAACGTTGACAAACACAAGCTTTTCAAGGAAACTGAATTTATACCGCAGAGCTGGTAACAGTACAGACTTTTTCTCGCTTGTCAAGCTGATGGTCTGGTACCATCCCTGTTGTATCTTGTTCGGTTAGGCTTGGCAACATCAACAACTATCATCCAGCCATTGATAATCTGCATGCAGAACAAAATCATCAAAGACTGCATAGCCTCCTCCATTTATAAATTATTAAACTCATGTTATTTTTCCTTCTCCATGACAGTCCCGAAGCAGAACTAATGCAAAGCAAAACTAAACTTGTCAAGCAAGTATGAAAGATGAATCTACCTTGCCATTCATCTCTTTGAGCGCTGCACTTGCAGCCTCCTCTGTGGTGTATTCAATAAATGCATAACCCTTGGACCTTTTTGAAATTTTGTCCATAATAACTTTAACTGCCAAACATAACCATTTGTCAGTAAAAGCTGGGGAAAAAAAATTTCAGTCTTGAAACACTGAATATTGATGAGCAAAGAAATATACGAAGATAAGGCTACCTTCAACAAGCTCACCAAAGCCTTCAAATGCTGCACGTAAGGTTTTCTCAGATGTATAAAATGATAGCCCTGTTCAAGAGACAAACAATTGCCAAATAGTATCATTTCTTGCAAGAACAAAAACTGCTCTCCCTGAGCAATAATTTAAGCTCCCACAAACGCAAAGTAAAAATTAGGTTGGAGAATTAAACTGATCATAAAATATAGGAACAAATACCTTCAGAGCAATCAATAATTTCCTAAGAAAATGATTCATTTCTTCATAAAATATTTTTAAAAAATGGATTTTATTTTACTACTTTTTCCTGCACCATGTTTAGTATTTTGTAAAGGAAGATACCAGCTAAATTACTTGCTCTTGACAAAGTAATCCACATATAATTTTTCCGTGAATAACCATCATATATGAACAGCTAGATGAACAAAGGATAAAGCATGGCTTTATACCTAGAATAAATGTCATGAGCATACCTGTTACAAAAAGTTTCTTTGTTTTCAAGGAAGCTTCCTGACTTGCTTCGGAAGAGTTGGGCACATTCAAACTATTTTCTAAGTTACTACCTGAAGATATATAGTTAGTAGAATATCAGAGAATTGCCATATGATCAACACCAGAGAGTAGGAAAACCAGGAACAGGCATAATTGAACCTCAGTGGAAATCAGATCATTGTTGAAAGGAATTAAATTTAACAATTAGAACCAAAATTTGAGTTTTACACCTATTTTAACTCAGTTTTACCTAAAACTGCATGAAACAAGTTAGATACAAGGACCATAATAGCACAAAACTCTTAAGGACTTTTCCTGAGGTAAAATTATAATATTAGGAAAAAGTTCGCAAAGGGAAAAATTTGTGGGGGAATCTATGAAATGGCAAACCTTCATAATCCTTATTTTCAGACTCAGAATCGTTATCTGGTTGAACTGATAAGACACCCGGCACACCTGCACCATAACAAGAGTTTCATTTGATGGGATAATTTATAAATTTGACATTTGGGTTAAGAATATACAAGGCTAACCAGCTAGCTCCTGTGCACAATCCTCATCAAGTTCACAGCAAAAGCCGAAGTTGGTTTTCCAGGAAACATGATATATGCACATTTGTGCATCCTTCTCACTGCAGACATTATATTCATATATTTCCAGAGAAAGGTGAGATCCGGTAATGAAAGCAAAATAAGTAGAAATTACTGTCCTTACTTTCCCAGGACCTTGGTCAAAATCTGAGCATAATAATCAACAATCTGAGCCTTGGTAACAACCTCAACTCCGGGTTTATCCATTCTTACTAGCCAATGCCTTGAATTTCTAGCAGGAAACAACATATTGGTTCTAGTTTGTAATCTAGACAGGGGACTTGCCTGGCCACTTGACAAACTATAGTCCTTTTTCAAAGAGTTGAAATCATCAGGCATAACCGATAAGACCCCAGGCAAACCTAGCAACATATATGCATAACAATCAAAATTCATTCAAAAAGACAACACCAATGGCAATACCGTTTCCACAAGACTAAACTTCAAATGTCTATTTCAACAGACACTATATAATAAACTGGACAGAAGAACAAGTGAAATTGTGAACAAATTATCCTCACTCCTAAGACTATCACATCATCAAGGAAATGGGTTAATTAGACAATAAGAAAAATAACAACTTACTAGCCAGCTGGGAAGAAATTTCTTCATCAATATCACAACAAAAACCGAAATGGGTATCCCATGAAGCATCATATATACACATCTGAGCTTCTTTCTCACTGTTCAAACCAAATTTAAAGCATTTTTGAGCTAAACAAGAGGGAGTACGAAATTGGGACAAAACCCATAAAACAAGTAAGTACCTGCCAAGAACCGTCTGTAGAGTGTTAACGTAATAATCAATGACCTGTGGCTTGGAATTGACCTCATGAGGAGGCTTTTCCATGAGCACCATCCAATGGCGGTTTTGTGTGGTGGAAGGGTATGTTGTTGCTGCCACTCCAGTAAAGGAGCAATTACATGAAATGGAAGAAGAAGAAGAAAGGTCGAAATGATTCCTTTTGTTGTGAAATTTTATGTTTATTGGAAGTTGTTGAATTTGGGTTCTCTTTGGTTTGAGAAAGGAAAAGTTTCGACATTTGGTGAATGTGGCAGACACTGACAGAAGTTCCATGTTTGTGTCACAACTCAGAATGCTATCCTACGGTTTCATGTGAAATTGAAAGAAAGCCCAGTGTCTTGTCTTTGATTCTTTCTCTGTGGCAACGCACACTGCTAACAAGGATATGAATCATTCATGAAGCTGCTGAACTTGTAAATGGGGCCTATAGCATGGGCTTCTCAAACAAAACCCATGGCTAGCCCAGTACGAGAAATATCTCCACCTTATCATTTTGTTTCTATTTTTTTTATAAATAGTTATAAAAATGTCATCTTATTTTATTTTTTATTTAAAAATTTTATGCATTAAATCATGAAAACCTATTTTTTATTAGTTTTACTAATTTTATATTATAATAAACAATAAATAATTACATATCATAGTGTGAATATTTATTAATTTTTCATTCTTTGAAAAATATTCTCTGACAATAACATTGGAAATTTTATTTTAATGTTTATATAAAGCTTGGAAAAAAATAACATTGAGAAGTTATTTTTCTTTAATTCTTGCAATGCCGATAAGAAAATTTACAATGGATAGTATGATTTATTTCCTTTTTCCCCTCCTTAATTTTTATTTTCTATCATCATTTATTTTTATTTAATTTCCATTACCCATTAATTTATGTAGATGCCATAGGCAAACAGTTAAGATCTGGCGTGGTGGTTTTGTGCTTTGCAGTGGCTGAGAGGTAGTGGTACGTGAGAATAGAGAAAATAATATTAAAAAAAATTATATTTTTATTGAAGTTCTTCTTTTAAAAAGAAACTAAAAAATATCTTTATTTCAGTAATTTAATATATAATAACATTATTTATTTATAAGTTTTCTCCTTTTATTTTGGACCCTATATTTTATCTTACATTCTCCCATGCATAGCCAATTCTAGTAAAAATAGTGAGAGGGATGGGAATTTGGAGCATAAATTATTGAGGAAATGGATGCCTTATATCTCCATAATTGGCCAAGCTTGTGTACATTTGATAAAATCAGTTATCACTCAGAAGCGGTGTTTCTGGGTTGCCCTCAATGTCATTACTCGAACCAGTATCAGGCTTTAGCGCGCAAGCAAAACAAAAAGAAATTATCTGACAGATTTGAAAGATCTCAAAGTTAGTGTAGAGAAACAGCCACCGAAGGAGTGTAGAATAGAAGAGAGAAGAAGGAAGACTTACCATGCTTATAGATGCACATATAATGCTAAAACCTTTGCATTCAAATGGAGCATTGGTAGATAAAAACCATGCTGAAACAAAAGTTATATTGTGAGCGTTGAGATTTGCCAAATGGTCATAATAAGCATATAGCCAAGATAATATTTTCCTCACAAGTTAATGGACTCATTGCAATAGGTGATAGCAAATCAGATATAGATTGTGTCCCAGCAATAAAAGTTTGTGTTTTTCCCTGCAGTGAAGTTAAAGCATAAAATTATAAGAGGGAAGATCATGCGAAATGTGTTAAAGGTGATTCCAAGAAAGATGTTAATAGAGATTTGTACAGGAGATGACATATTATCGAGAAAATTCTTTACTAGTTGTTTGTAGGCGGGAGATACTACTGTTTGTTACATCTTTAACTCTGTTTTTTATTGCAAAGTTTTGATGAATTTTTAAATACTCCTCGGATGCATTAAAAAAGGAGAGCAAACCTGATTGGCTGAGCTTGATGCATTTGAAATAATAGCATAAGTCTGCACGACAAGAAATTAATATCAGGACCATAAAATTGACACTAACTATAGAAGTGGGTAATCATTTTATCACGTGAGGAAAATTGATCTACTACTTACCGAAGGCTTCACAAGGATATAGATGGTGCCAAAAGAGGCACTTAAGTATGGTACCTGCATTGGTGGTTTAAATTCAATTAATAACAAGGAATTCTGCAAGACGTGTGTACTGTAAATTTATTCAATGACATTGCAATTTGCAACAAACACATAAAACAAGTTAAGGTAAAGAAAATACACACTCTAGTTATAATTTTTTATTCAAGTTATGTGAAAAACTTACTGTGGATACAGGTTATAAAGCTGAAGTACAAGAAGTTAATAACAGTTAAATCAAACTACTTTTGCAAAGTTATCTAGTTGACGTACCCAAGGTGCCCATGCTAATCCATAGAGCCAAGCCTACCAAATAAAGAAACATGAATAGCACAATGGTATCAGCAAGTTTGCTTTCAGGAAGCTGGAAAAGCAGGAGAATACAAGATAACTTACATATGCTATTGATGCAAGCAAGGCAGAGCAGAGTATAACTTTCTCTCCAACCAATGGATTAAGAATTGGAAGCAACAACATCTGGAAGCCAACCGAGGGTAAACTTAAGAAAATAGAAACTTACGCATAATCAACTTATCCAACATTCATAGAAGCCTGATAGAATATCAACAAGTTGGAAAATTTTCAGTGGAATATTACACAAATAAAATTTTACAGGCTTTGGAGTTTAATGTGAAAGGATAAAATGAGAATGAGAACGCAAGCTAATGCTACATAAATAAAAGGAAACGGCTCAGAAAGAACAAAGACAAAAGTGACCAAGATGATTAGAGCGCTTAAGGAACAGCCTTGAGTTCAATAGAGATATAAAATCAAACTGTAATTAGTTGACAATCAAAAGATACAAAAGCTGTGAATTCTTGGGGAGGCAGTGATGACATGAACTTGGCAAATTTCATGCGTGCATTAAGTAATAAGATGCGGGTTCAGAATATTATAGAATAGTATTTACATACACTAGTCCGAATTCCCTAAACAAACCTTCCTTAATAATGCATTCTAAAACCTTAAAGCTTTGGCTAGCTGTCTCACAGTCACAAATGCAAGTTGTTAGTACAATGAAACTTCAAATGGTTAGATTAATTGTAAAAAAACTGTGTTATGCACTCTTTTCCTGGGAGAGAATAATCATGAAATCGACTTGCTCTTTTTGTACAAGTTATATAAAAATGCAAGTATTTTTCAATTTTAGTATGGAGGAATAAGGAAGAAATATCATTTGGGAAATATTATACCTGAGAAAAGATTGAACCAATTCCCACCATCATCAGAAGTTCTGAGAACTGATTTTTGTTAAAACCAAAAACAGCTTTCAAATAGTACTGCACAAAAATTGTGAGAATGTCAAGTTATGGGATCAGAAAAAAAAAATTGTTAATTTAAGTACAAACCCTACAAATAAGGAGTAATAGAAATAATAGCATGCGTCGTTTTAATCTTAGATATGTTTTCAATATGTGATCAAGGAATTGACTAGGTCTCGAAAGCGTAAGTTATTAGGAAAAATTCAAACAACGGTTTTTGTTTAATCTGGAACAAGCCCTCTCACATAAAAGCTTTTGGTCTTGAAACGCACAAATCACAGGCACATTCAATCCTAATGCTGAAATTATAATTTAAATTAAAAAATGCAGCATTAGCATGTATCACTCTCTTAGCAACTTGGTAAAAAGTACTCCAATTTTTCTTTTTCTGGGGTCGAAGAACCAACTATCCAAAAATATTTAAGCTAGAATCTTCAACACTATCAATATAATCAGAGCACTAAGTATATGGCCTTCAAATAATAAATAAAATAGCAAGGCAAAAAGTCTGTGTGTGTGGGGGGGGGTTTCATTTCAATCAATTGAAAACATACCAGCAAAACACTGCTTATGCCTGACATTCCCAGCTCATAGAAGAAGGAGACAAGAGCCATGCCTCTTAAAGTAGGACTGAAAAATGAAATATCATAGTATTTAGATTCATGCATACATTATATTTCACAGAAGAAAATTTTCAGAAAATAACTATACAGATAATTAAATGTAATGATAATAACATAATGCTTAAACATCTAAAAATAATAAGAAACCTGAAAATTACTCCTTCTGCAGCTCTCTTCATAGATTTATATCTTTGTTGGAGAACATCAACAATTTTAGCCCAGCAACCTGACTCTCGATTCTTTCTTGGAGCTTGTACCACCGTTTCAACAAGGAAGAATTTCATATAAACGAGACAAAAGATCAACAGTGCTATTGAAACCTGAAATCAATGAACTGTAAATAAGACTCATTACTAGCAAAGGGGAGCATGAAAATTTGTGATATGATCTGAATATTAATAGGGAACTCACTACACAAACCTACCACAAAAATGTAATTTTCAGGAAGAAATCGAGCCAGCACATCCCCCAGAACATGTGAAGCAGAAAGGAGACCAGTCATCCAACTAAATACTATTGCTCTTTTGCTTTCATTGACAACATCTGCCTGACAGGAGAAGTATAAAAGTGTTTATAAAATTCTTTACCATCTTATGATTATATTTAGTTAAGAAAAAATCTCACCACATAAGCAACAGAGATGCAGAAAATACTCCCTTGACTGATTATATATGAAATTGTGCGAAGCACATAGTAGGCATAAACAAATTCCTCTGATTGATGCCAGGCAAGTAAAGCTGCAACAAGAATCCAGTGCAACGGTGAAAAGAGAAAATCAAAATCCATTTGTAAATAAACTGTCAAGGAATTGGCAGAAGTTATCCCAAGTTTCTAACTAGTTGCATTTTCATTTCAAATTCCTGATTTTCAGGATCATTAAATTCATTCAGTGAGATTAATTATAAGGGTCAAACTGGCGACGCTTTTCCTTTCAATTTAATTTTCTGTTCATTACTATTGTTACAAGTAGCATTGGTAGATGTTCAAAAGGGGGAATCTAATTTGATATAATCAATATTGTTATGGACAACTTAGCATCACCAACATATTAGATTGAGCAAAATGGTAAGTTCGCATACTTTTATGTTCGTCCTTTTAATTTGGGCAGATGAAATTGTACTTATATCATCATTTCATGACTTGTACAGACCAAATTTCAGCAAAGAATATCGAATGATCTCATCTTTAGTTCAATTTGGTATCAATTTTATCTACAAACTACAAAAGCAAAGTGAAAGCCCAGCAGAACACAAGGAGCATTAACAATGAAATTAAGTTTTCTTGTGATTTTAGTCAATGAGATATTGAGGTGGGAAATTTTCACACATCTTAATGAATTTGATGTCAATGAGCATACCAAAAGAAATTATAGTCGTGGACATGGTAATAAGGAGCAAGGGTTTACGGCCATGCTCATCTGAAAGCTGACCCAGTAGTGGAAGTACCACCATCTTGAAAATTCCAGCAATCTGCAAAAAAAATTATAATTATTTATTCTAAATTTCAACTGATAAAAATAAAAGACAAAACTCTTCATCATATTATATGCAAAAGAAATTAAGACGTGTAAGTAAATTAAAGGTCACCCACATCAACATGCACCAAATTAATAGTGAAGCAAAAGAATAAATGGAGGAAATATGGAGAATAATTACAAGTATGGGGAATCTTCCATGTATAATCAATGTGTGAATAAGATGTCACAGTTTGCAGAAATATGTAAATAAATATAGGGTTATGGCCTTGTGGGGTGTTAAAAAAATTCTCTCTATTTGCCTTTCTGCATATTCCATAACATCAATCAGATCTTGCCTCTAAGACCATGACAAAGCAATGATTGGTCACAATTTTGCCATACGTTTCCCACTAACTTAGAATAAAATACTGCAATGCTTTATCAAACAAACAAGAAAGTTGCTACTCAGTAACATGTCTCCAAGACAATCCTTGCAAACTTTAATGCAACAACAATTTTCTTGAATAGTATAATCACGCAGTACGACAGTCATCATCTCTGAATTCCACTGATCAAAACTCTTTTTCTTTCATCTTCTAACCAACCCAGAAGAGCAAGTTACGCATAGAAACAGAAAGAGGAAAGGATCATGACTCATGAACGGGCATTATACTCATACCGTTTGTTGAAGTCCATTGATGTAAATGGCTTTGGAGCAAGTTGATTCCCCAGGGCATAAAGCAGAGGTTGTGACATCAACAAGAACTGAAACTGTCATCTCCTCAGCAACCCAATGGATGCTAAGTGGCAGCAGCAAGTGAAGCAAAGGCTTTAGCTCTCTGAGACCACTCCACCATGACATGTTTGTGCACATTTGCATCAAGAAAAATACTTAGTACACACCTTTCCACTAAAGAGATATAAAAATAAAGAAAAAGTTGATAATGTAATAAATAATAGACGTGACATAGAAAAGAGATTTAGAGATATTAAATGAGTATTATCATTGATTGGTTGGTAATTTATGAATCCAACTTCTTGCAGCTAACCTTACACATTGTACATTGTACATTGTACTTTGTTCCTGGGACACCACACGTAAGAAAAGTGGCTGTGTTGTGAGAGTGTAACTATTTGAGAGCAATTACAATTTACAGCGAAGTGGTTCTGCACGTGCTCTACTCATCATTGCCTCACTCCTCACTGAATTTTTCTGTCGGGAATTTTTATTTTTTTCTCTCTTATAGTTTCAGTACTAATAATAAAATTATTTTATATAAAAATTAAATAATAATAATAATAATAATAATAATAAACATTTTAAAAATTAATAATATAATTTTAACTCTTTTAAAGTTTTAATTTTCTTCCAATTATTTTTTATTTCAAATTAATTAAATAACATTGGTAATACAATTGATCGCATGAATTAAACTCACAATTATTAGACGATACTGTGTTAACAGTGTTAATAAGTTTACTTTTTTCTTTTTGGTTTAACATCCCTTATTTGGATTTACATCTGCTAACATCATTTGGGCAATAAAACTCCAGATTTAGTTCTATTGAAGTTATATATGTAATAATCAAATTTGAAATTATTTATTAAATTAAGAGTTTAAATTGTCTTTATCAATTAATTTATGTACTTGATGGTCAACGATAATAACTTGAATATTTAGCTTAGGCATAAAAAAATATAAAATAAAATTGAAAGAAAAAATATTATTTTTCTCTTTATTATTTAGATGGAGAAAAGTAAAAATAAAAAAATAATTTTTTACTAACATATTTATCTTTATTGATATGATAGATAAAACATCATAATTTTTACATACGAATCACTTTTTAGTCTTTTAAAAATTTAAAAATTAAGTTAGTAAAATAGAATTATATATATATATATATATATATATATATATAAACATTAAGAAGGAGGATTTATTTAAACATTTAAAGAAAAGTCTAGGTAAAAAGTTTAGATTTTTCTTCTTCTTTTTTTCCTAAGGAAAATGACTTAATACAAAGAACAAATGATAAAGAGTTGAATTTTAGTGCATTGTCAACGTGAACATTGTTACATTGACAACTAAGTATAATATATCATAGATATGATTTTTTATTAATTATTATAAAAAATAATTATCTTTATTGATATAATAATATATGATTAAATGAAAACACGTACCCAATCAATATATTTTAATTAAATTTAAATTTTAAGAAATTGACAAATTCTAATCTGTATTTTAGAAAAGTGATTGTTGAACTTTTTCAATCTTACATATTTTACATTTGTATAATCCAGAGAATTAAAATGTAAGAACATACATATAATGGAAAAAATTAATTATACAATTAAAATGGTGCATGTATTGATGCAAGTACAATATTTATTTGTATTAAGCAGTTATTATATCTATTTTTCTAACATGTCCTAGATATCAGAAAATTTATTGTATTAATAAAGGTGAATGTTATAATTTTTTAATAATAATTATATTTTTTAAGTTATTTTTTCAACATATGTCTATTGATGAACGATAAGAAATTAATAAAAACTATTTTTTTGTTAAATATTATAACCTTTTTTTTTTGCTTTAAATATTATAACTTTTAATACCATGATACAAATTTATTGATATAATGTGTACATTAGTTATTATTTGATATATTTTTTTATTTTGTTTTAAATTATTTATTACTTTAAAACAATAAAAATAAATAAATAAATAAGAATAGTTTTTACCAACTATTATATTATAACTGTTTTAGTGAAAACAATCTTTTTTATGAAATAATTAGTCAGTGCATGAGTATAAAGTGACAACTAATAAGAGATAAAAAAAATGTATATATTATTATTATGTGTCCTTAGATATATGTTAAAAGAATTATTTATTTTTATTTATTTAATTTTTTAATTTTTTATAAAAGTTGTACAATTAAAAATTAATATCTATAAAATATTATTATAATATAGTTTATATTGTTTAAATTATCTATTTTTAGTCATTTTAACTAACATAGTATAATCAAAAGCTAATATTTAACAGTATTTTAACATATTATATTTACTAAAAAATTAAAAATAATGATTTATAAAAAATAAAAATTATATTTAACAAAATATTTTATAAAAACTAAATCTAAATTATGTAACTTTTATGTGATAACATATTTTTTAATACTTGTTAAAAAGTTATTACTCTAAAAATAAACTCTCATTTCAATATTTAAAATAAGTGTCAGTGATTTTATAACCTTGACTTTAATTTTATTTGGCAAATATTATTTTATTTTGTTTTTATGTAAATTGATAATAAAAGAGTAACATAAAAATGACGTTTCATAACAAAAAAAAAATTAAATATTAAAGTGGCATAATATATAATCTCACATATGAAAAGAAGATCTACGGCTTAATGATTAAAATAAAACTTTTTTACAAAATAATTATCAAAATAAAATAAAATTAAAACTTATTTTCTGTTTAGGTTTTTTTTTGTCACGTCAGCATGTATTTCGTATATCAATCAGACAAAATTAATTTTTTTATTTTAAATTTAATCATTTCGTCTAAAAGAGTGATGAAATACTCTACATGTTGACATCTGTCACTTAATTCGTATATATGAGAGGCGAAACAATCGACAGGTGTCAAAATACTAGTAATTCGTCTCAATTCAAGACGAAAGCATAGGATCTGAATACATATTTGAATCTAATTATTTCACCCACAAATGAGACGAAAAGGGCACTCATTTCGCCTGCATTTGAGACGAAAAACATGTAATTTTGCCTATATTTCATACGAACGTCCTTTTACCCATTGGTCTCTCCCTTTACACTACAACCTTTTATCCAGGCAAATTTTCCTATATAATGTTTGAAATGTCCAAATCTAAATCACCGTGAAAGTGAAATTGAAAGGGACTCATAAACGAACGTTTGAACTGAAGATTGGAAGGTTAGTAAATTTTGAAACTTTTTCTAATATTTTTGTTATTAAAAAGTTTTAATTATTATAAATAGAAATAGTTAAAATTTATGAATATTTAATAAATATATTTTTGTGTATATTGAAATTAAAAATTAACATTTTAGATAATTTTAATAAAAAAATATAAAAGTTTAGTAGATATTTAATATAAAATTATTTAATTAAAAAAATAATGTTATATTTGTTGTGAATATTTTATTATATATATGTGGAATATGTATTAAAAATATAATATTTTTATAATATAAAATGATGTGAAAAATAATAATACGTTTGTGTGTTACAAATAATTTATTTATATTATTTATATTAATAAATATAATTGTAAATAATTATTGATATGCTTTTTTTTATAAATGCAGGATGAATGAGATTATTATTATTGTATATTGGAATGAAAAAATTGTTGTTGGAAACGAAGGTGTGATATTTGAAGGTAACAAAAAAATGATAAAGATAAGAAGAGGGATAAGTTATATGAATTTTAAAAAAAAGATTCATAACAAGTTGAATCTTAGTAATAATCATGTCATATCTAGAATAATTTCTCGTTTTATGATTGATTGAAGCGCTAAACAATACAATGCATTGGATATATGTGATGATGAAGACATTGATTGTATGATTAGTACGTATCAACAACAAAGTATTACAAGTCTTATTAAATTATATGTGGATATTGCATTTGGTGAGAGTTCAAGAGGTGGGTCGAATATGTTGAACTTAAGCTTATTAATGTCACTGCCTAACTCTATGGAAATGGTCAATATAAATGTTACAGAAGGTATAAATTATATTATTATAATTTATTTTTAAATTTTTTTTAGTGACAACACATTGAATAAGTGTTTGTATTTTGAAGGATGTGAAGATCTATGCAATTATGAAAATGAAGATGATGAAGTCAATAGTGATGATAAGACAAATGATATTGATGAAGGACATATTCCGTTAGACAGCTTGTCAGATATAGACATCGATGGTGATTTTGATTCAAACTTAAATTTACAACAAGAAAATATTGGAGGTAACATTTAAAAAGTATATTGATTAAATTGTTTATTTTATTTTAATAATGAATATTGTATGTTTAAATGTAGTTGTAGGTGAAATACCTTTTTGGAATGTAAGCCCACACTACAAATCTATTAATTGGGACCACTCAGACCAAGAAATTGAAGCAAAAGAAATTATTGAAGATAATTGATGGGTTATTGAAGATCCGTTACATGTGGGTTTGTTATTTGACTCAAAAGATGAAGTTAAAAATGCCTTAAAACAACATATAATGAGAATACATTAGAATTATTTTGTTGTTGAGTCAAAACTAACAAAGTTGCATGTGAGGTGTTTAAACCATAACAATGGTTGTCCATGAAGAATAAGATCATCATTGTTTAAGAATTCAATAAAGTGGAAAATAAAAAGGTGTGGGGGTAAGCATACATGTTTTAACCCTACAATATCTCAAAACCATACCAAACTAGATTCGGATTTGATTTCTTCATGCATAATTGGTAAGTTTTGAATAATATCTTATTTCGTGATTTCTTTTCTCTATAAAGATACTTAGTTCAATTTTTGTTTTTGTTTTGTGTAGGTATGGTTAATCTTGAACCATAATTGCTTATAAGTCTAATTCAAGAAAGGATGACAACTCAATTTGAATATAAAATTTCATACAAAAAAGTTTGGAAGGCGAAACAAAAGGCGATTGTAAAAATATTTGGTGACTAGGATGAATCATATGTTATATTGTCAAGATGGTTAGAGTACATGCAATTTCATGCTCCAGCTTCTATTTATAAGATTGAAACGAAGCCATTTGTTGTTAGACATCAGGAGGACAACATATTTAGAGTATTTGAGCGATTGTTTTGGTGTTTTCATCAATGTAAGGAAGCATTCAACTTTTGCAAACCTATTGTTCAAATAGATAGAACATTTTTATATGGTAAGTATTGTCACACATTGTTGATTGCAACAATACAAGATGGGAATAATTGTGTCCTACCACTTACATTTGCCATTGTTGAATGGGAGACTCTGTCAACATGAGAATAGTTTTTGGCAATGATTTGTGTCAACGTAACAAGCAAGATAGAAATATGTTTAATATCTGATAGGCATCAAAGCATCAAAAGTGTTGCTTCAAACTCACATATTGGATGACAATCTCCTAATGCATACCATATTTACTGCATTCGTCATATTGCAAGCAATTTCAACCATAGATTCAAGAACATTGAATTGAAAAAACAACTGATAAAATTTGGTAACATGATTTAATTCATATTTAGCTTCCTCTTACTTTATATTTATTTGAATTGTGAAGTCATGTAGTATTTGTACATTGCAGCATATATACCTTCGAAGCTTGTATTTGAAGAGAAGTTGAGAAGATTCCGCACTGAGTCACCAGAAATACAGAGGTGGATCGACAACATATTAAAGGAAAAGTGAGCTTTGAGTCATGACGTCGATGGACGCCGTTATGGACATATGACCACAAATTTGTCAGAGGCTATTAACAAGGTATTGAAGGGAGCAAGAAACTTACCTATAACTGCTTTGGTCAAATGCACTTGTGGACGAATGGTTGAATATTTTGTGAAGCGTGGAGAGGACGCAATGAATGACTTGAACCATGGTAAGAGATTTTGTTCAAAACTAATGCTAAAAATGCAGAAAAATCAAGAGGAAGCATCTTCGCATCAAGTGAGGCGATATGATATAGCAAGAACTAGTGGTCATACTAATCAATGTTGGTGGTCATACATAACTCTCTATACAAAAAACCCAATACTGCAGACTCCAACTGTATTCACCAGTGACAGCAAAATCCTGAAGTAAAGGTAAGTGCATCACTAAGACTCTACTGCTGGAGTGATCACTCAACATAAAACCCCCCAATCAATCGCAACATATAAGTCCTAGCAAATTGGGTGATCTATAAAGGATTCTGTGCATGCATTGCCACATGGGTAAAATATTGGTCTAGCCAACTCGTCTTCAAGAAGATACCAACAAAATCTGCACGTGATGGTCTAATCCCTAGGGTCTCCTTAACAATATCAGCATAATTACCTTCAATAGGTACTATTGCAGGTCTTTCGTCAATCCATAAACCTAACAACACATATATATCATGCAAAGTGATTATATACTCGCCTGGAGGCAAGTGAAAAGTGTGTGTCTCTGGCCTCTATCTCTCTACTAATGCAGTGATCAACAGTAGGTCTAATGGGAACTGACATAAGTGAGCAATCGCAGTAAATCCTGCAAGCTCTAAATGTGGAAGGATCTCTTCTGGAACACCATCCAAATCAGCTGAAATAAATTGACTCTTCCTAACCTTCAAAATAGGATGATCCCGACTATTCCAAATATGTTCAGGCACATGAATATTCTGTAAGCGTAATACTGAAGGATCATCTGGTCCAAATATAAAATATAACATAACATGCATCAAGTATAATACCACAATATGTTCTTACTTCATCACAGAATTCAAATAAAAAATTTATTTATATCATTTTAATCATTCTAATACAAATAAAATCAAATACAATTATTCATAACTAATTTTAAAAAATTTTACTAAATAAATTAGTTATTTGTTCATTACTTAATTTGAATATTTTATGGATTTTTTTCTAAATTTAACAAGTTTTTTTTTTTAACTTAATACATCAAAATAAATTAGTATATTAATTAAAAACTATAAACATTAAAAATTTTGTAGTACTTTCCATTATAGATCTTATATCATACATTAACAACACTAATTAACAAGTTGTTTGTTTTAAATTATTTATTGATCATCATTTATTAAATTATATAATTATCAATAATTAACCTAAACTAATTACAATCACTCTAAAATTTATATTCCACATTCAAATTTTTTTTTTCTAAATTAAATTATATAATTATAAATAATCTATCTCAACTAATTTATATCTCTCTAAAAATTTATATTAGATAACCAATTTTCTTATTTCTTTAAAATTTTAATTTTTTAAAAAAATAATCTTACCTCACATTATTAGTATCACTCTATAAATCAAATTATATAAATAATTATGTAAATAATATTTCATCATAATTAACTAATATTAATTATATTTTTTATTGCAATTATTTATAAACTAAAATATTTAGTACAACAATTTTAATATATATTAGTGCTGTCAATTTTAATACTTTCAATTTTGAATATAACTATTTTTTGTAATTATCTAAATTTATTTTTTAATTATAAATAAATATATCTATTTACATATTTTAATCATAATTAATATGAAAAATAGAATTTATGTTACAAGTTTTATACACTATTTTTTAATACATTTTTTATTTTTTTAGTAATAAATAATTAAAAAAAATTATTAAGGTCATTAAGCCTGAGATCGACTCATCATAATTTTTTTTTCCTATTTCAATGATTTTTCAAAAGAAATGATTTTTTTTTCTAAAACATGATAATGGCTGTTGAGTGTGACGGTGATGTTCAGTCTGACCAAGTGGCAATGTGCAAATTAATGTGTTCTGTTCGCATTTATTTTTTATTCTTGATTGATTTGACTGAATCGTCGATATGTCAGCAGAAATCAAATTCACAGTAACGAAGGATTGAATTATAGATTCTTTAATCCAGAATTATAATATCAATAAGAATATTAATTTTGTTATCATAATTAATAATATAAAAGTTTTAGATTTACAGTACATAAAAATTGAAGTAAATAATTTAGTCCATTACGAAAACAAGAAGAAACATGCCGTTATACAGTGTTGATAAAAGTCAAAATCAATGCATGTCACTCCCATCATCACTTTATCATGCCATACCGCATGAATCAGCTCACCCTTCCATTTTTAAGAAGCATGACGTAAATCATATCTGAATTCAACTTATTTTCTTTCTGCATATTACAGTAGTAATATTTTAGGCTCCAAAACATGAATTTAACTTGTTTGTTAGTTTATTTTTTAGATTTTTTTTAAGATAAAAAAAAACAAAACACTTAAAACTACTATTAATTTTAATTTTAAAAATTGAAAACAACAAATATTTTTTAAAGTTTTTTAAGAACTCATTTTAATAAATAAATTTTATTTTATTTAAAAAAAGAGAAAAATATTTTTAAAAACAGAAAGCAAATAATTTCTTTTAAGTTTGCTCTTTTTTTAGTTGAAAACTGTTAGTTTTTTTTTTCTTTCGGATAAATTGCTATTAGGTTCACGTGAGCTCCACGTGCCTCTTGGGTGTATAATGACACTTGGGCCTAACTAATAGTCTTGCTCACATTGAGCCCAGGGCCATTGTTATGCCGTGAACACTAACTTGCAGGAAATTTGGGCTCCATGTCCCCGTAGTCATTCTTTTTGGTGTCCTTAACTATATTTTTTTTTCATCTTTTGACAATTTTTTTTTATCTCTTTGTCTATTCTTTATCGCAATTTTTTTTCAAATCATGTCACAAGCAAAAAATATCTTTTCTGAAAAATAAAATAAAAAAAATTGAGCAATTTTAATATTACTACACTAGTTATTTTATTGTTTTCGGATATTGAAAAGAAACGCTTATTTTTATAGGCAATTGTGTCTTAAAATTGTTTTCACCAAGGAATAAACTGCACTCAGAAATTCAATTAATTTGTGTTGAATTGTCAATTGCATATCTTGTTTTAGTCGGTAAAATTGAAAAAAAAAAAAAAACGTTAACCACAATCTAGTATCGAGAGAAACCTCTTAACTAACTAACTTTTGTATACAAAATATAAATCTTCATAGCGGTAAAATTTCCACATTTGTAATAAAAAAACATGAGTTAGTTTTTTTTTTTTTAAGTGACATAACATCTTTTGTATTAAACAAAATTTTATTTAGTCTTAATTTAAAATACCTACTTTTTAAAATTTTATTACATTAAAATAATCATGTAATATGTTTTTAAATGTTTACTTTTAAAAAAATGCACACGTAATGAACAAAAAACCATTAATTTCAATAATTACTGAAAATAAACTTTTTAAAATTAAGGGTTGTTGAAAGTATTTCTTAATGCCCAATTTTCGACTAGATGCTTTACTTGATTCACACTCTACTAACCATTGCAAGCCTAACTACTGTTTATTGGTAAACTACAATTGCAAACTTACACACAACATTGATAAAGTTGACACAAGGATAAATGTAATACAAAAATACAAGTTAAATGATTAATAAATTTTTTTATCTAATTGAATTTGAAAATAAATTTAAGAGAACATAATACTAATTTTGATAATTTTTATTAATCTTTGACGCTTAATTAAATTTTCAGATATTAATATTTTAACTAAAGACATAAACATTTTGATAAAAAAAAAAAACCTAACTGCCTCATTAGAAAAATATAAATATAAACTAATTGAAGAAAAATTTGAGAAATTTTCTTTTATAAGGAGAAGTTTGTATAAGTTAAAATAAAAAGGTATATAAAAAAAAAGATAAAAATTTTAGCCCACTATTAGAAGCGGGGGACACGTGGGAGACGGTGTAAGCAACCTCCATCGTCGTCGTCAAACCCTATCTTGCTTCGCATTCGCACCTTCTCAATCACTTTGCCCCCAATTCCAAAATTCCAATTCCTAACCCTAACCCTAAAGCCGAAGCTTCTGATGAAATTCGACACGCTAAACTCCACGGTTTCAGAACCAGGTTCGATTCTTTAACCCTCAAGAATCCCTTTCTTCTCTTTGCAGTTTTTCCATGGAGGGCTCTGCAGAGGATCTGGGAGCCCCGGAGTCATGGGAGGTCGCCGATTTGGACGAGTCCATGAACCGCTTGAACCTCATCCTCTCCTCCAACAAAGATTCCATGCCTCACGGGCGCGCTGACGATTGTCCGCCGCCGCCGCCACCACCTCCTCTTCCTCCCTCCGGTGGCGACAAGTTATCCGATGACGTCATCAACCAGGTTGATCAGTTCCTTCGCGAAGCGATTCAGAACCCTCGCGAACGCCTTTCAAGTAGGTTTATCTGTCTCTGCATCAATTAATCAAAGGAAGCTCCTGTTCGTGTCATCTTTATGTTTTTATTGCAAGTCTGAGAGAAATTGCTAAATTATCATAGGCTCCGAATGTCTTGGACGTTTTCTGTTTCTGTGCTATGTGTATGCAGACTCCTAAATTCTAATAAAGGTGTTGATTTAGGTTCGATTACTCATAATTTTCTCGTGGTTTGATTAGAGAAAATAGTGTACTCTCTCTACTTTCTAGTTTAGCTATAATATGAAAGGATTTGGTGCTTCTCAAGTGAGAGATTCACTTTAGAGAGAAAAGTAAGGGGTCATACTTATAATCATTTATTGAAAAATCAACTGCTATGATTGTGATGAAATACATCCACCCCCCCTCTCCCTCCCTCATTTCATATGAAAAATCAACCAAGCTGCTAGTTTGTATATTTTCTGCTACTTTTTGTATTGAATTTGTTATGCACTTATGAATGCATTATTTGTACTTTATTTGTTTAGATCCAATGAAGGTTTACATTCATAGAATGGTATTTTTTAATTGATTGATTTCTAATTTAATTTATTCAGTTTTGAGAATGGAGCAAGATGTTGAGAATTTCATCCGCGATCCTAATCAACAGCAGCTTGAATTTAAGCAGCTTCCTACATCCTATTTAAGGCTGGCTGCACACCGAGTGGCTCAGCACTACTCATTGCCGTCAATGGTTTTACTGGATAATAGTTTGCCAGATGGGTCTGGCTCAAGAATTATTGTTCGCAAAACCTCTGAATGTAAGCTTCCAGTTATTCGCCTTGCAGACATTCCAGTAAAGTTATCATCGGAAAACAATGCTGTCATGAAGGTTGCAATCAAACAAAGGCCGCAGAAGCGGAACCAGGTTCTTAGCAATGCAAATTCAAACTCAGTGAAGAATAGTAACTCAAAGAGTGTGGAAGAGAGAAAAGAAGAATATAATAGGGCTCGAGCTAGGATTTTTAGTTCAAGCAACAATGGTGTTACTGTAGGTGGGAAGCCAGAATGTGAGTCAAGGCAGCTGGATAATTCATTGCATGGTTCATTGGGCGTTTCTAGGGTGGAAGATAAATCTACTTCTGTATCTGATGTCAGTTCCAGTAGGGGGCTGATTGAGCCTTCGACAAATACCAGTAGGGGGTTGATTGAGCCTTCAACAAATACCAGTAGGGCTAGAAGTAGGACAGAGAAGGAGCCAGTTGGTAGGAACCGGCAAAGTAATAGGGTGGCCATATTCCGTGACCGTGAGGTTGACCGCAAGGATCCTGATTATGACAGGAGCTATGATAGGTACATGTTCCTTTACAATGTTATTTCGTCAAGCACTTGTCTGCTAAAATTTGTGACTTTGTTGTCTTGTTTCTCTTTCTCAAAATAAACTGTTTGAGTTTGCAGGCATGAATAACTTGACAATGTCATTGTTACCTTGATTAGAATTTTATATACTCTATTAATATCTCATGTTCATTTTTGCTTTAGCTATGTAATGTAGACAGAATATCTGGTGTTAATCTATTCTCTCTCTTTCTCTCTCTCTCTCTCTCTCTCTCTCTCCTATGAGATAACCTGCCACTATAGTGCGGTGAATATTTTCTTCTTCAACATTCGTGTTTGCTTCTGAATAAAACTGCTCTCAAATTCCAACAGCATCACTTCTCATTCCTGATTTTAATTGTTCAAGGCATTTGAACCTGCATTTAGCATAGATGTTAGTATTCCGTGCACATTTACTGGATATAGTCTAGCAGTGGTAAAAAATTAGTCTCTTTCAGGAATTAAATAGTAACAACTTGTGAATGACATGGACTAAATTTTGACCCCTTTATAATTTTAGAGACTAAATACTAATAATTTTTTTAAGGACCAATTTAAAAAATAACATTTATAGGAACCTAAAACATAGTTAAGTCTATTAAATTATTGTAGGATCAATGTGAAATATTTCTGCATAATTGTGAAGTAGTAGTGGTGAGTGATTATATTCTGGGAAAATATGTTTGTGTCTGTTATATAACATATGTGACTATCAGTTGACTTTTCTGCAGATTGGCTGAAGTCCCATGGAACTTATAATGTCTATGTTATTTTATGTTTAGAAGTATCACATTTGAATTTTCAATTTTCTTTCTCCATTATTATTGGGTCTTGCTCCGTGTACCATGTGATTGTCTGTTATATTTAATGCTGCTGTGAACTTAGACTCTTAGAGATATCTAAAATGCTATAAGTCTAGATTTTGTTTTTGTGGTTTTTTTGAGCGTTTTGTACCATAATTTTTTTTTCTAGATAAGTGAAAGGGATTGTAATATACTCTGAAGGGGAAGTAATCGTTATTCCAAGTACATATGCTAGAAAAGTCCGAAAACACTTCAAAGTGACTAACCTATTGACCTGCATGTATTAATAAATTCTGAATGGTGGCCAGTGTCTGAATTTCTTCTTGCATAATATATTCATTTCAATCCTGCATGCATGGTTGATATTTAAGCATCTAAGTGTTTGGGTTAAGGACAGCTACGACTGTTTTGATGTTGGGACCGTGGATCACAGTGAATTCTGATTTTATGTGTTTGTCTGTCATATATATCGATTAAAATTGTAGTTGTGTCATATTTTACCATATTCTTTCTGATAGCAAAAGTAATAAGTATAATAGCTGAGAGATGTGGATTAACCTAATAATTTATTTGTAACTTCATAGCAGGTATATGCAAAGATTTGATCCTGGGTTTGGATTCAATGGAGGATCATACACAGTGCAGCCAATGTATACAGCAGTATTGAATTACAATACTGAGTTTCCACAGCTTGGATCTGCTCATAGACCCCAGCTTTCTACTGAACACCAACCGCGACCTCTTCCACAGCATATACCTGGGCCATGGGCTGCACAATCAACACCTGCTGGAATTGGATATGGACATCCAGAGACCATGATGTCACCATTTAATCCTAGTCAAGTTGGTGCACCCTCCTCGTCAACCATGTATCTGCATTCGTCTCAATATCCTTGTCAGCGCCCTGGAATGCCTTTTATCCACCATGAACATGTTCACCAACCCTTTGCACAGGTATAAACAGCCATCAAAATCTCCAATTTATGAGTGGTCAAGTCATATACAATGTTAAAACTTTCAAGATGGTCCTTTGCTTTTATGTCAGTGGCTTAATGTCTTGCTGAATGTTTTGTACTACTTATATGAACTAGAGGAAGCAATTCTAAAGCAGTATGTAACGCTCTAGTTACATAAACTTTGATGTTGTACAAAACCATAAAAGGAATTTGTCAATTGATAGCAGTTATATAAACACATAATCAGCTGTCTAATAGAATAGAGGGGTATCTCTAAAACCGTGAAGCAGTTACCTTTCCTTGTCTGCTAATTCAAGTAATGTACATTTGATTAGTTAAAGTAAATTTGAAGCTTTATTTAATAATGATACAAGATCAAATTGAACCTTTTTAAATAAGAGCAAACTGCTGAGTACACTCTTGTGTTTTGCATAAAAGACCATTCTGGTGCAATTTTCATATACTCCATATACATATACATGAAGATATCAACCATGACATGAAACTAAAGTAATGAAATTAGCAACATATCAAGCTTATGATTACTAAACCTTCAATACTAACTAATTTAATTTCCATCACACTCGGCAGTTTAACTTTTGAAGCTGAGTCTTGTCAAAGATAAGTTCAACCAAAGTCACGATATAATAGGTTGTTAATGAATGGAAATTTTGAGGTTGCTAAAATTAAACAAATAAATTCATAAACATAAAAAATGGTGGAAAGGCAAATCATTAGAAACGTTGAGAAAACTTGAAACAAATTTAAACTGTAAGGACTTGTTTCAATTTTTCCAGATACTGCAGGGATAGATATATGTATTATCATTCTATTTAAAAATTCTTTTGTTTTACTTTTTCTTAGATTACACTTGAATTTTTTTTTTTTTAATCTATGTATAGTCTTGGAGGTTGGTGTGATTTGACTGATATATTGAGCACCCCTTTTGCACTTGAGGGTGGCACATTTTCCCTATGTGTTGTAAATTCAACGTATCAGTTCTATCTACACTGGCCATGTTGTGATACCATATTTTCAAAGATTTTATTTATTTATTTATTTCTAAGATAATGATGCATTATTATCTTACAAGTGTCTTATTACAATAGAGTTTTGTCAATTTTTTGCTTCATTTTGGGTATCCAATGCTTGTGAAATATATTATTCTTTAGTTTTTCACTTTCTATTGAATCTAATTGTACTCTTTTATGTACTTGATTCTGCAGTCTCATCAGCCACCACCTGATGCAAGTTTTGGATTGGCCCGGCCCCGGTGAGGGGCATGGGCCATGCCTGCACCCAATCAGCCGGAGGTATATGATATATGATGATGAGCTGCTGTGGCTCCAAACTTCTTTTAGCTGACTGGAGTGCAGGCATATAGGCCGAGTTTGGATGGTGTGGATTTGGTTTTGATAGATAAACTAACCAACATTGATCTATCCCTCCAATCTCGGTTTTGCAAGGATGCTTATTGCATCTTCCATGAGTCCATGGCTGTGTCCCTTGTAGACACTTTTATTTTTGTGAGGAGCTTTTAAAGCATATATACTGTTGATGAAAATGAGTGAATTGAGGACCTCTTCAGAGGAATCAGAGCTGAAGAAGTTTGTGTTTGACTTGGATGAAGGTATGCTTTACTTAACCTGTCATGCGGCTTGACTGAGTAATTGTTTCCTATTTATGCGAGAAGTTCATCAATTTCATTTCTTAAAATTGGGTGAACGCATATAATGGAATCATAAGCCTTACGCTTTTCATGTAAATTATAGTGTGAAACAATTATTACTTTAATGCTTCTCAAGCTTAGCATATGTAATGCTAATGGAGCATTGGTAAAGCCACCTTTTATCGAATGAATGTTAATCAATATTGTGTTTTTCTTGTTTTGGCTACAGCTCCCTCAATAGCTTTAGGGGTTTAGTTAAAGAGCTCAGTCCGTCATCTGCCTACAGGTTGCAGCAACTTTTCATGCTGTGTGATGAAACTGGAATTTTCCAAGCTCTAGTCACTAGTTGCTATCGCTATACTTTACCTCATGTATCATAGTATAATACATAACTATGGATATGAAATTGTATATTTGACTCAGTTCTAACATTACTTTTTATGCATTTCCTTATTATCTACATATATATTATCAAATTTTAGAGGGGTCTTTTCGTGTGGATTATTTTCTTTCATTTATTACCCCTCTATGTCTTTTTGTATAGTGTTCCATACAATAAGACAACTACAAGGGCCCAATATTGGCGGGGTAGAGGATAAGGGAAGAGGAACCAGAATAGGGGATGCATATGGGAATCTGCTTTCCCTATCTCCTCGTCGAGCAACAAATTTTAACCAAGGGAGTAAAAAAAAATTACAAAAAACTTTGTATCTCTTGTATCTCACTGCTACACCTATGAATCTCAACCATTTATCAAATTTTATTCCATTAATTTTTAGAATAGTGGAGATTTTAACTGTTAGAATGCATTCAAGGGATTATTTTTAAGATTATAATTGATGAAAACGAGGTTGCATTACTGTTCAAGTGTTTTGCTAATTTAAATTATATTTTTTATTATAATTTTGGCAAAGAAAATATCGTTTTATGATAAGTATAATTTTTGAGTTTGTGATTAAAAGTTTATTTATTTTAGTTAACTTCCATTTTTTATTTTATTCCTAAAATTGAATGTTTTAAATGCAAAGTTATAAGTAATCTCATTTTTTACGGTAACATTAATTTTAAGATGATGTGAATGACATAACTTTTTAAAGTAACCTTTTACTTACAATATTTAAATATGAAATTTATTTCATATAATTAACTAAAATAATTATTGATTACATTTATAATCAATTTGAAATGACTTTTTCTCCAGAGTTAGTAATTAAAATATAGTAAGTTTGTTTTCGATTTTTTAAGTTTTGCAAATGTTATTTGTGTAAGCTTTCTTTTTTTATTTGATAAACGTGCTCTTTAACAAGTATGTTTAGCTGTTGTTTCGTGAAATCCAAATAAAACAGTTTACTGTTGACAAAAAAAATATTTTGGATGTGGTATTAAATATAGGTTTAAGTATGATTTTATATTTTATTAAAATTTTAGTTTTTTTTTTATTTTTAGTTCATGAATTTTTAAAATTCAATATTTTTAGTCTCCGTCGTATCTCTATAGAAATTGACTTGTTAACTATGTAATTATCAAGGATACAATTGCTAACCTTTTATAAAAATAAAATAAAATAAAATTACATTTTTAGAGAAACAAATTAAAATTTAATGCAAATTTATAGATTAAAGACGTTTAATACTAAAATATATTCATAATTTTAAAAGTGATTCAATTGTATCTTTTAGATTATTCTTTCATATTTGTTTTTAAATTTTCGCAAGTCTAAGGCAAACGGATGTTAGATAATAGTAAGACGCGGAAAATACTTGGTCGAATTTCCATCCGTTGTCCTAAAACCCATCATCACTTTGCCCCCAATTCGGAAATTGCAATTTCTCAATCGTAACTGAATCGTAGCTGAAACTGGTGAGGTTTCTCTGATGAACGGCTTGCAATGACATTAAGGGCTGTAAATTTGCTTGCTACTATTCTAGTGAAGTTGTTGTTTACTTATGAATGCATTTTTTGTATTTTAATTGTTTAATATCTAGTGAGACTTTATATTCGTAGAGAGATATGTTGTGTGAATTTTCTAATTTAATTTACAGTTTTACGGATGTTGAAAAGTTCATTCGTGATCCTAATCAGCATCTGGTGGAGAAGGAGCCAATTAGTAGATTCAGGCAAAGTAATGGGGAAGTTATATTCCAGGATCGTGAAGTTGACCAGAATGATCCTGATTATGACAGGAACTATGAAAGGTATGCATGCCTTTAAAAACTAACTCAAAATGACTAATTTAGTTAAAACAGCTCTTGATCAGCTGATCTATATACTTAATGGTATACTTTTCTTAGTTTATGATCAACTTTTTTTTTTTTTTTTTCACAATGTGATATTTTCCTTTTAGATATAGATATTTAACAACTTTTTTCATGCGTGCCTTCTCTGTCCACTCATTACCAAGCATCCATTCATTGTATTTCTTATGGAGAGAATTTTGCTAAAAGAATTACTCCTGAGGACTAAATATATGCTTAATTCAACTTAATACTGATAACCCACACATTTGTCTCTGGTGCATCGCTTGGAGCAATCATTAGAAGTTATAAATTTCATAGAGGAAAACCCACCCACAAGGCTCCAAGCCAAAAAAACATGATTTAAAGATTAGGGGAAAATGGCATTTTAAGCACTCAACTTGAATATTTATTTCAAGTTCTAATCCATCTTAGAACCGCCGGATCAGCTAATAATTACCATTAAATGTTAACTCTTAAATTAATACTTAATTGGATTCTAAAATCTTAAAATGAGTCTATTAGTTTTAAACTTTGTTAAACGATATTTAAAATGTCAAAATAATATTATTTTTACAATTTTAAAAACTAATTTGATTGACATGTTATCGTCATTGCATTCTTTGTCTCTTCTACTGTAGTTGCTATTATTATCTAAAATTCTGTTTTCTTCTTCCACGAATTTCACTCTACTTTCCTCTCTTAAACTTGCACATTTCTAATTTTTTCTACAACTTTAATTTTATTATTATCACTGTTGCTGTCATAAAATTTTCTATCACTATTACTAAAAATATTATGGTAACAAAGGAGATTATTTAAGTTTACACTAACTTGACATATGAAAAATCTAAGAATAGAACTTATAGAAGTAAAGACTCTAATGAAGGAAAAATAATAGGATCAAGATTCTCTTCCATTTTGGTGCGAATTAGACGGTTCAGTCCAACAAAATTTTATGTTTTGACTTAAGCAAAAGTGTAAAATACACTAACTAGACTGTCTAGTCACAAGAGAGAATCCTGATTCGAAATAATGTTAACTGAGTAGAAAAAGGTTTTAAAAAAAAAAGTAATAGATGAAGTAAGAGACAATAACAAAGAAGTTGGTCCCTCAGTTCGTGATTGGGAAGGAAAGGAAATTTTGAGTAATGGTAGCAACATCAGTGGACAAGAGAAAAAATATAACAACAAATATGTAAATTGATCAGATTCGTCCCCGATATTATGTGAAACAACATGGCATCTCAGATGTCACTTGTTAACATCATTATAACATAAATTGATAGTTGGACTAAAAAGTATCCAACAAAGTCTCAAGGATTAACAAGCTCATTTTAAAAATCTCAACCAAATTATTCGACGCTCATGATAGATTAATTTGAGCATTTACTCTTAAATGTGAGAATAAGCATTCGGATGGTGCTAATCTTCCCATGTAATCCATACATTCTGAGAGCCGCTGACTAGAAAATTTTGATATTTTAATTTAATATATTTAGTACCCTTTGGGCAAAAAGAAAGAAGCTGAACACAGCAATATTTGCAAAAAAAAAATCCTTTCATGTGTTCAATAAGGAGAATCAAGTTTCGTTCTCAGATTGAAGCAGAGAATCGAAAGCTATCTTAGAACATTTGTTCTGATTTCATGATCTAGATCACTACTCCCTCAGCAAATGTGACTCTACCAAAAACAGGCTCGGCAGCAAAGCTCAAATATCGATTGTCAGCATCTTGTCTATGCTTGAAAAACTTTGATAGAAAGTTTTAAAATGCTTGTAAGCAGTGTCTATATCTTCCTTCCCACATATTTCCCTTATACTGCAATCCAAGTATAAGAATATTCACATAACCCATATTAGATCCTTGGAGTGGATCAGAAATAAATGGAACAAGAAATAAGAACATTTGCTTGTTTTACATCGTGACTTTTTCTATTATTTATTTGTAAATGAAAGAAATTCGTGATAAGACAGAAGAAATTGACCGGGATAACAGCTAATATGCTTAGTGAGAGAAAGACATAGGTTGTGTACCAAAAGCTGATTCCTGATTAAGAGAAAGTTAAATATAAATAATTAAATATTACAAATTGATTTTTGTTTCCTCAGTTCCAAAATACTAAGGAATCAGGTTTGTTGACTTTCATCTTTGGTCATTTCACATACAATATGCATTTGAACCAACTGTCAGACATGGTTATAATCTTTTAGTATCCAGGTTCAGTATATGGATATGGCATGGTTTCACAAAGGCTTTGATTAAATATCAGGTTTGCTTTTTTTCTCCCCAAAAAAGCATTAATGCAAAAATCATTTGATACCTGTGCATTGAAAGTTGAGCAATTCCACAGTCAACAGTTCGGATGCCAACCCCAGAAGCAAGTATTGGACCAATGGTTGATCCACATCCCATGTCATTTCTAACCACAAATTCCTACAGTTAGAGTATATAGGATTTAACTTAGAGATGCCTCAATTATGGGATAAAACAATAAACAGAACAGAGAAATGAAGACATACTCTCTTATCTATACACTTTCATTTTCAATAATTCATGCAAGTTTTGCTATCTATAGGCACCACTCAAAAAGCATACTAACATTAATAAGTTACCTCCAATGGTCTGTGTGATCAACATTATCATATGATGTATAAAACAACTGCTGGAAACTGATAAGCTAATTAATAAATGGATGATGATCTCAGGCTAAACTAAAGGTGCACGTAGAAACTCAAGCTAAAATACTTTTACAAGATCAGGAGTTGATACAAACATACAAATTTGTTCATATTATGAAGTTAAAGACAAAGGAAATGAGAAGAGAAGCATATATTCCCCTACCAGGCATCACTAATTTTTTTTATTTGTAGTTTTTATCCATCCGCTTTCTTCTGAAAGGGTTTTCATGAGAAATAATATTGTATAGAGAGGATAGAATGATACAGTCAGCAAAGAATGAATTGGTACAGAATATGATTTGAATAATTCCAATAGTCTTCTGCGTTAAGGACAAAATCTCCATACCTTTATGATAAATTTTTTACATTAGAAAGTATAATGTGTATAAAGTATAAACAAATGAAACCATAAAGACAAAATTACCTGAGTTGGAAGGTTATGAATTCTTCCAACTTCTTTAAAAAGAAAAGATGTGATTCCACTGGTAGCATAGCGCTGATTTGCATTGTGCTTAATAACGAGTCCTTTCTGCAGCTCTGGTCGGTGGAATTCCTCATGCTTATCCACAAAATTTGGATGAACTCCATGGGCCATATCTGCAGAAACTATTAGGGATAGAATCCGAAAGATACTTTAGTGGTCCCTGATAGAACCCCAATTGCAGGATAGTGAATATTATTACTAAATCACACAAAACACACAGTACACCAGTCATTGCTATCACAGTATCTGACTCCTCCATAACTGCTCCTAAAACTGCCAACATGACAGTAATTACCACATATATATTATTAATTATTAATACTAAACTGCTCCTAACTTCTAACTGGAATTTCCAGCATGAATACACACCCCATCTTCTTAAATTGACTTTCTTGATGGGTAGTTTCTTCCTTGGGCCAGGAAATCTAATGTTAGACAATGGAAACTTTTCTGATCAACTTGGATGTCAGTTCACATTAGTCCCTTTCAGAATATTATGCTAAACAATGAATAAAGGACATCAAATTTACTATTGCTAATTACTAGTTTCCATCAAATGTACTCTTTTATCCTTAATATACTATTATATTTATATTATTACCACATTTAACATAAAAAATGACAAGTATTCCATGTAGCAGGACAAAATCAACTACACATTTTCATAAAATCCTGAAACAAAATTGTCCATCAGTTTCTTTTCCCTCTTTTTATTTATTTTAAATTTGGTCTTTACCAAAAATTCAAATTGTCATTCTAATAGATCTAGGAACCAAAAGATATGGCACCACTTGCCCATAAACAATAAGAAAATAAATGCTAAGATTATTTCAAGAGTCATATAGCTTAAAAATGTAAATATAGCAAAAATTGGTCACTGCAGCTGAAACAACTCATGAGACCTCTTTTTCCAATTTCAGTCTCTATCTTAAACCCTACACCACAACATTCTTATTTTACATCAATTTACAAATTCTGAATTTTCCTGCCAAAATTCATAATTTTTTAGCTAAGCCTTTCTAGAGGTCACTGTAGTTAACTATTCCAGCTGACAACCCTTGTTTGTTATGCATTTGCCACAAATTTACTTTAGAAGGGTGATAGGTAGATGATATACCAAGAAATGATTGGCGAATAGTGAGCTCAAAAGAACCTTCACTAACATAGTTATTTGCTAAGTCACCAACTATACGTCTCATGGCCTGAAACATGGTGGGTGCACCAGCTCCTTGAACCGAACCTGAACCCACCTAAATAGAAGCAGTTAGGCATAGCATTGAGAAATCAACAATGAGATGTCATCATACAGTCATACTACAATAAAAAAAATGCATTGTAATAATATATGTGCAATACTACAATAAGGGGCTTGATTGCATATTTAGTCTCCATACTTCAATATATGTGCAAGTTTACTTCCCTTAATTTTAATTGTTCACATCTAGTCTTCGTAGTTTATAGATTATTAAAATAAAGTCCTTTACCCCCAAACAATCATGAAACACATTCCACCTAATTTTGAGTTTAACAGTATTTATTATTAAAAAAGGGATCTTGCATGCAACAATTTATACGACGTCTCAATCCCTTTTGAATGGAACAATTAATATTAATTCTATAATGGCAAGCAAAAGTGGAATAAAATCCAGGGTCTATAAAACATAAAGCATACCTCTTCATTGTCAAATAAAGCAACCATCCGAATAGCATGTTCATTTGCTAAGTCACCGAGACACTCACATGAGTCAATAAGTGCCCGTAATGCGCAATAACTTGAAGCTAGATTATCTAATCTTCCAGAAAATATAAACTCATTGTTTCCACCTCCAAGGCAGCTGGGTTGAGTATCACAAACATTCAGTTCAATACTCACTATGTCATCAACATCGCAGTTTAACTCATCTGAAAGTATCTGAGAATTAAAGTCAATGGCTATAATAAATAATACTCCTTCCGGTCTTTTTTATAAGAAACAAAATGAAACATTTTTTCTGTCCTTATTATAAGAAACAAATGATAGATTTAAGATGCATTAATTGTTAAATTTTTTTTATATATTTTTTTATTAGTATCATTAAATATACAAATTACTAACTACATCATTTAATATCATAAGTATTTTTAAAATAAAATTTATATTTATGAAAAACATAACATACTTAATTACTTTCTTTGGTCATAGTGATTTAGTCTTTTGTTTCTTATAAAAAAGACCGGAAGAAGTAGTAAGCAAAAGATAAGCACTTTACACTTTACACTTAAAATCACAGATAATTTAAAATTATGATGGATAAACTATTACAGAATTCCATTCTCAGCATAACAGTATTACACTTTACCAACATCAATTGCTAAAACACCTAGAGATTAATCTAGTTTGACATGGCAGCTTTTCTAAAATCCAAGCTAGTAAACTCAGGCTATGAAATACAAAATGTGTGGCATGATGCGATGCAAACGTGAATTCATGTTACATCATTGGATCTAGCCAAAATCACTAGCACCTATTCTGTCATTGTTTTCACATGTTGCTTGTTGCTTCTTCTTTTTTTTTCAATTTGTTGGCTATTCTAATTGTCAACCTCACCTAATAGGATAAGACTTGGTGGTTATTGATGTCTACTACTCTGATTAATTCATTTAATTCCTTCTCAATTTTGTTTTTACTTAAGATATGAAAGAAATAAACAATATAGGTTGATAGTCATCATCTTATCCTTAACACAATCATACCTTTCTCTGACAGAAAACCTTCATTCCCTATCTTCCGACATATTGCCATGCACTTGCATACCAAATATCTAATGCAACCGATTCGTTGTCATATTTCTTTGTAATGGACTAGCGAATAAAAGAATATATATAATTTAAGTTTTATAAGAAAGCACTAGTACAAGAATGATAATCTGAAAGGTATTAATGTTTCTTATGATATCATAGTCAACATCAACTCAATAATGTGCTATCAAATTGGATTCCTAACTGTGCTTGAGACCAGAAAAGTCAGTATCAAATGATTTTTCCTCCTATAACTGGTTGTTCTAGGCAGGTAATATTTTAGGAGTTCCCTAACATTGCCATGCCAGATCTTGGATGATGTTTCTCTAACTTACATAACAGTGTGAATTGATTTTAATCATTTTTCTTCTACTCACTCTAGAGTCTATACTAGAAAGAATTGGAAGCAAACAAGATACGAATAATTGTGTATTTCTTTCTGTTCATTTTAGAAAAAATGTTTGAAATCAATAGACATGCATGGTTTACTTTCCTCAGAGAGTTAGAGTAAATAATAATCAAATGGATTGCAACTAGTTTGAATCCATGAACCTGGCAGTTTGTTCAAACCCTTTAAACAGTATTTCACATTCAACTTGAAGTAAGCAAAAACAATAGCTACCTGCATAAGCAGCGGATGATGATGAGCTTTAGATGACAATGCAGTACTCTTCTCTTTTGATTCCAAAGAAATATCCTCAAATTTCATGGATAGTAAGGGAAGAAGATGAGTCTCTAGATTTGGTTTAAAACCATCCTGGTTCACTGTGCTAAACAACAAAACAAATAAGAGAGGGTGATAAAATCTGCTGCTAGCTTGCACGTTTCTGTGGCAGAACAGAATATTGGCAGAACAGAACAGAATACAGGAAAACAAGATAAATTCTCCAAGTACCAGTAACACTGTTTTGATAGTTAGCCTACAAAGATTCAAGAGCTTGAAGTTTATAAAGCACAATGAAATCAATCTGGACAACAATACTAGTATCCAACTCAATACAAATAATCAAGTTAACCATAATCTTCAGTTCCTACATATTTGAATTTGAAATTGGAATATCAACTTATCAGCTCAAATTTGGTAAAAGTACATGCAAGTAATGTTGCTCAACACAATCCAGAATAAAGATCATTTCACTCAACGATAAAAATGTTTGCTAGTGGCTATAATATATGTTCAAACAGGAGCCAAATAACCATAATGCCTGGTTAGATGAATATTACCCACAGATATCATCATGGTCAAACTGTACACATTTGCGGTAAAATATGCTCTTTCAAAATAGGTCAAACGTAGAATATAATAAAATCCATTGTTATCTCTCATTCCATTCTAACATGTCCACCAAACGCCACCTAATTGACAATCGCACAACGTGATGAATGGCCTAAAGTTAAAATTATACCGGTTAAGATGAATGGCGAGTGTGGGTATGCGCAAAATAGGTCTATTGACTTTAACAAGCTTATGGACATAAGAATTATCGCCACTTCTTAGAATGACCCTCCCCGCAACACTCAAATCCCTATCAAACCAAGTGTGCCATAAGCCAGCTCCATAAGTCTGCACATTCACCATCAAATAATCGCTTTTCGAAGACGCCGATTTCGGCTTCAATTTCAGGCAGGGGCTGTCCGTGTGCGCCGCTATCACGTGGAAACCGTCACCGACATTGTACCTTGCAAAACAAAACGAATTGAACAAAACAGCGAAACGCAATGGAAAAAAAAAAGAAAAGAAGCAAAAGACAGAGAACGCGAACTCACTTTTCTCCAATTGCGAAAGCAACCAAAGAAGACATGTTTCGGGTGAAGAAGTAGCGTCCACCGGGCTTGAGGTCCCACTGTTGGTTCTCGTTGAGAAGGTGAAAACCGGCAGCGAGTAATTGTCGTTTAGCTTCGGCTGCACAGAAATGAAAGGGTTAAGGAGAGAAATTGGGAATAGTGAAAAGTGAGATAAGAAGAATACCTGTGGCGTGGAATTGAGTCCATGATTCGTTGAGATATTGAAGAAGTTCAGGCACAATGGAAATGGAATCGTGAGAAGTGGAATTGATGGAGCAGTAGCACAAGGCCCGACGTGTTAATGGATTTCGGAAGAGAAGAAAGGGTGATTTCAATCTCAGTTTGAGTGAGGGAGAACAAGACTGCAGTAGAATCTGCGGTCCCGTTATCGATGCCATTTTTCCAAAACTCTCACACACTCACCATGTGAATCCTTCCAAGCTTTGTTATGTTACGTGAATATCCTGTTAAAATTTAAGGTTCAGTTTTTTTTTAAAATAAGAAAATCTCATAAAAAAGTTTAGTTTCAGATCATTTTTGAAAAACAAGTATCAGTCGTAATAATATTTTGAGTATTTAATATAATTATATTTATTGTAGTTTAAACTTGAAATTATAAATTAAATTAAATTAACTTTTATCAGTTGATCACGTATTTGTTGTTTAATGATCAAATTTAAAAATGTAAATATGATATGTCAATAATAATTTTATAATATTTTAATTTTGTTTTTAAATTTATGTTTGAATGGGTGATAAATGATAATGGACAATAGCCATAGAATTCAGTAACAAATGTGTCTTTGTAATTTATTTTTAAAGGAACAGAACAAGAACAGAATCAATCTAAATTTAAAAAAAAAAAAAACTTGACTTTACATAATTTAAAATATCATTTTATTTATTTATATATTTTGCATAAAAGAATAAAACATTCTATTTTCAAACAAATAAATTCCTTAAAAGTAATTATTAGCAAGATGGAAAAGGGTTAGAGGATTACTCTTTAAATCATTTCATTTTTATTTATACAAAATTAAAAGTAAGAGATTCTGGATTCTCAAGAAGCACTGTATAATAAACGATATTGTGCAATAAAAATAGGGAAAGAAATGTTAATAAACATAAAAAAAAAAGAGAAAATTTCTGTAGAGGAATGACGGTAAAAAAAAGAAAAGAAAAGAAAAAGATAGAACCTCATCATAGACTCTTGGATTCTCAACTATTAAAATCTTGGATAGCAAACAAGGAAAAAGTAAAAGAAGATAAATGCAAGGTTGTAGTAGGTTCTTAGCGTTAAAACCTTTGAATCTTGGCTTGTTATGGTAACTCTAGGATAGAGATCGAAGAATTACAGAGATAGAATAGGGAAGCCACTAAAGGAATGACATTCGAACTTTATTAGAAGAAAAATGGAGATATAAGAGTTTTTTTACAAGAATTCTAATCTCCGAATCTAAGAGGGTCAACCTCTATTTATGATTGATTATCCGCATAATTGTCCAACAGTTTCCCAATTCAGAAAGTCTGCTATTTTAACTATCCTTTGACTAAATACCAATGAGATTCTCTCTTATTGCTTTATTCACTTTTATTACACAAGTATAATTTATTTACAAAATATCCCGTAACAATTCCCCACCTTTAGCTTCAGACTTGTCCTCGAAGTTGGAAGTGAGGTACTTCTGTTTCAAATCATAGAAGAATTCCCAAGTTGCATCTTCTGGCAAGCTATGCTTCCACTTTACTAGCACCTTGGTAACAACTCGACCCCTTCTCCTGACTGTCATGTGATCCAAAATGGCTTCAAGCTCCTTGATTAAAGGATCTCCTTTTATTGACCTTGGAAGACTTGCAGAAGTTACTGCATCACCCACACGCTTCTTCAACTAAGATACATGGAACACATCGTGTATGCTTGAACCAGAAGGAAGCTTGATCTTCTAGGCCACTACACCAATCTGCTCCAACACCTGAAATGGGCCATAGAGCTTGGGGGACAGCTTCACATTGCTTCTGGCAGCTATAGAGATTTGTCTATAAGGATGCAATTTGACATAGACCATATCACCAATGTTGAACTGCCTCTAATCTATGTTTATCTGCCAACTTGCCAACTGTTTCCTTCTATCCTCGGCTCTCTTCATGTGAAACTTGATGAGTTTCATCATCTCCTCCCTTCTCAAAAGGCTCCTATCCACCAACTCAATTTTAAAAGCTCCTGCTAAGTAAGGTAGATTCACAAGTGGGGGCTAGCTATACACCACCTCATAAGGAGTAGCTCGAATGGAACTGTGGAAGGTGGTGTTATACCACCATTCAACTAAGGGCAACCCCTTAGACCAATGAGAAGGAGAGTTTGCACACATACACCTCAAATAGGTTTCAAACACCTATTAATAATCTCTATTTGGCCATTCGTCTGTGGGTGGTAAGTTGTGGAGAGCTGTACCTGAACACCCTGAAAAGCCATAAAATCCTACCAAAACTAATTGAGAAAAATAGAATCTCTATCACTGGTGATAGAGTCTGCAAAACCATGCAACTTGAAGACATGATCAAGGAATGATTGAGCAACATCAGTAGCAAAATAAGGGTGAGAAAGAGCCATAAAGTGAGCTACCTTGCTCAACCTATCTACCACCACAAAGATCACCTGCTTACCAAAGGAATTGGGCAAGCCCTCCACAAAATCCACGGTGATGTGCTGCCAAACCAGATCAGGAATAGGCAATGGCTGTAGTAACTCAGGGGAAACAGTCTCATATTTGTACTTTTGACATATACTGCATTTCTGAGCAAGGCTCCTAACATCCTTGTTCATCCCTTTCCAATATACCATAGATTTAAGTCTTCGTAAGGTTGCATTTCTGCCTGAGTGACCAGCTGCTGCAGAAGCATGGAAATGCAGAAGAATATCTTGTCTTAAAGCATCATCTTTACCCACCACTAGCCTCCCCTTTCTCTCCTTAACTCGCCATCCTTCCAAGAGTAATGTCTGTGAGACACAAAGGCATCTTATAATTCAGAAATCAATTTCTGAACTACAGGATCTGAATTCCAAGAGGCTTTAATTTTGAGCACCTATACAGAAACCACCTGATGAATAGCTAGAGCTTGACAAGCAGCAGGTTCAACTCGAGACAAAGCATCAGCAGCTATGTTATCATGTCCTTACTTATATTCAATTGAGAAATCAAACTCCATCAATTTCACCAATCATTTTTGTTGAAATGCAGTAGTCCATTTTTTATCCAAAATGAACTTCAAGCTTCTATGACCAGTTCTGATTAAAAAGTGAGTATTCAGCAAATAATGTCTCCATTTTTGGACAACCATGACCACAGCTAGTAGCTCTTTTTCATAAGTAGAATAAGACTGTTGTTGTTGATTCAAATGTTTACTTATATAAGCTATAGGATGGTAGTCTTGTATCAAGACAGCTCCAATTCCCAAACCTAAAGCATCCACCTCCACTACAAATAGTTTAGAAAAGTCAGGTAAAGCCAAAATTGAAGCCTCAGTAAGCTGCTTCTTTAATTGTTGAAAAGCCAGTTTTGCAGCATCAGACCAAAGAAAGATGTCCTTTTTAAGCATATTAGTTAAGGATTTAGCAATTCCACCATACCCTTTGACAAATTGTCTACAGTATCCAGTTAAGCCTAGGAATTCCCTATGCTGTTTCACATTCTGAGGTAATGGCCACTGCTCTATCGCTAGCACCTTAGTTGGATCAATTGATACCCCCTCCTTAGAAATGAAGTGACCAAGGTACTCCACCCTAGAAACCCCAAAATAGCACTTACTCCTCTTAGCAAACAATGAATTCTCCCTCATAGTTTCCAAAACCAGCTGTAAATGTAGCAAGTGGTCTTCCAAAGAACAACTATAGATTAAAATGTCGTCAAAGAACACAAGCAGGAACTTCCTCAAAAACTCCTTAAAAATTGAGTTCATAAGCCCTTGAAATGTTACAGGGGCATTAGTGAGGCTAAAAGGCATTACTAAGTACTCAAAATGCCCAACCTGTGTCTTAAAAGCAGTCTTATACACATCATCAGGATGCATTCTCACCTGATTATATCTTGACCTTAAATTAATTTTTGAAAAAATGCTAGAACCAGCCAATTCACCCAATAGATCATGTACTAAGGAAATTGGGAACTTATTCTTAACTGTATGTTTGTTAAGATCCCTGTAATACACACGTAACCTCCATGACCCATCCTTCTTTCCTACTACTGTTCTGAATTATACCAACTGCCAAGTATTCCTAAACCAATTTATCAATCTCATCTTTTTGCTGTTTAGCATACCTGTAGGGTCTCTTACTGATTGGGCCAACTCTTGGAATTAGAGGAATCTGATGGTCATGCCCAGGTCTGCTATGAGGTAACTCACTAGGTTCCTGAAATAAATTAGAGAACTCATGCAATAACTTGGCAACCGCATGAGGGACTTCGGCCTCAGCAGCCTGAGTATTAAGGGAATTCAGAAGACCATTTTGGCCATCACACACTTGTAAAAATGACAAATGAACACCAGTTGCCATAGCCTTCCCCAGTTGTTGCTTCTTAACTACTTTCAATTCAGAAGAGGCTCCTCTCAATACTTGTCTCTTTCCCTTAACATAGAACTCCATTTGTAGCTTATTAAAATTCCATACAATATCACCCAAGGAAACTAGCCACTCCACTCCTAAGACCAATATCAGATTGGTACCTTCCAAGTGGTATCAGTTCCAATATTGATGCAAGATTCATGGAGATGGCAGCTTCAATGCAGCAATCTGATACCACTTGTTATGGTAACTCTAGGATAGAGATCGAAGAATTACAGAGATAGAATAGGGAAACCACTAAAGGAATGACATCCGAACTTTATTAGGAAAAAAATAGAGATACAAGAGTGTTTTTTTACAAGAATTCAAATCTCCAAATCTAAGAGGGTCCTGTCTAACAGCTTCCCAATTCAAAAAGTCTACTATTCTAACTACCCTTTGACTAATTATCCATGAGATCCTCTCTTATTGCTTTATTCACTTTTATTACACAAGTATGATTTATTTACAAAATATCCCGTAACAGTTCAAATCTTGATTTAGGCGTATTTGTCTCCGCATCGAATTACAAAACTGTTACGAACCGTGAATCTTTAAGTCTTTTTCGCTTCATTATTTAACTTGATTTCAGAGTAGAATGGTACCAGTCAGTTACTGCGATCAAAGCATTGATTCCTGTGGATAAAAGAACTTGATAGTTACCAAGTACCATTGGTTAAGCCTATTAACATTACTATCAAATTGAAATTAATGGAACAATCACCTTTAATACTATCAAATTGCTTAGAAACCATTTTTTAAAACGGAAAGAGTTATCTACAAGCCTCTAAAGTGGTATAACTAGGCTGCTGTTTGTCACAAACAAAGCTATTTAGGGCGCGTCCTTGCCATACATGAATTCTCAGAGTTGAAATCTTGAACAGCAAAAAGAAAAAAAGTGAAAGAAGATAAATGCAAAGAAAACCAAATAAAAAGAAAGAAAGAAAGTAAGATTTGTCCAAAATCTTTGATTATGGTCTGCACCTTTCACTAATTTTCTGTGCAAGATTGAGACAAACTTTGGCTTATTTATAATACGCCAAGAGGCGGTCATCAAGTCGGTCTTAACGGCAACGGTAACTTATTTTTTTTACTTTTTGGAAAACTAATTAACTCTGAGACTAATAATTTAGATAGATTAAAAAGTATATCAAAATTAAATATTTACTTATATTGTGAAATTAAATAATTTATATACCTAAAACACTATTATACAATAATTTAATTTTTTTCCTGTTGGATTATAGCATGAGATTTACAAAAAATACACAAATAATTAAACATTAAAATTAATTATAGATTCTAATTATTGATTTTTTAAAAATGAAACTACTTATGAAACCAAAAGACACAAGTTTCACCATGATTAAAAAATAATAATTAATAGATATTTTTAATATTATATAATATATTAAGCGATACATTATCATAATTAAAAATGTCTAAATTAAATCTACTAAATTTTTAAATTAATATGAAATAATCGTATTATAAGTCTTACAAGATATTTTTTTTAATAATAGATAATATCAGTGTAAGTACAAATTTCATATATAGTTTTAATTTTTTAAAATAAAAAAATATTTTTTAAAGAGTTTAATTTTAGTGTATTGATCATATAAAAACTTGTACATTATCAAGTAATTAAAATACATGGTAGATATAATACTTGTATTAATTGTTATATAAATTAATTATTTTTACTAATATAACAATTTATAATTGAATAACAATACATTTAAATTATATTCTTTTTAAAAATTATTATTTCAAACAATTATTTGTCACTAGTGACTTAACTTAATTGATTTACTAATTTCTTAATTACACTAGTCAATTTGTTTTTTTGTTTTTACTAATATTATTACATGTTTTTTAAATAATACTAGTTCAAACAATCATCAGACAGACTTAATCGTTTAACTAATTTTTTTAATTACACAAATCAGTTTAATCTTTTTTTGCCAAAATTAATTATTTCTTTCATTTTTTAAAACATTTCTATCTATTATTATATTATTTTATAAAATTAATTTAACTCAATTTTTTATCTAAATTATGTCCATTGAGTGCAAAAAATATTGACGATCTCTTGTAAGATGTAGTGATTGAAAAAAGAAAAGCTTGTTTTACTTCATTAGCAAATTGTCTTTTTTCCATCTAGCAGCCTTGCATTTTTGCAAATGAAAATAAGCGATACATTATCTAAGATATTCGTCAGCTTGCGAGAATCAACTGGACATTCCAGGTTACATAAAACCATTAGTAACAGAACTGACACATAATATAATCAAAATGTCTTATACCAAGTTATTTAATAATAATCTCTATTCTCAGAAGACCAGAAAATTTGAGAGATCTACCCCAAAAAGAATCTATGAGAAGAACATAGAAAAAGGCCGCTGAGGATCGAAGAGACAAAAGTGTAATTAATTGGATTGTCTAATCCAGCTTTATTCACTGGATTAATTATATTTGCCATTTTATTTCAATAACATCATATAGTTTAGGTGTAGAAACTGTAACTGGATGCATCAGCAACAATATTCCTTAAGCCACCAATAGTGGATGCCAGCATAATGCACACTCCTGTGCATATTGCAACCTGAAAGACACATAAAATGGGGGTCAACGCATACAAGAAAAAACTCAAGTATCCTCTGAATTTTTCATTCTATTTTAGACTGTTTTATTTTATTCCTTTCAAAGGAAAAGGTTCTATCGTGAATTTTTAATCATTACCCAATTGATGAACCAGTTGGTGCTGAATCTCTTTGGCTTCTTGATTATCAGCCACATTATACTGGGAAGCTGCAACAATTAATGTGCCAGATTATTGACCTTCTGGTTTTCGATTATTTCTTGTAAATATAACAATTTAATAAGAGCATGGGGAAACTGAGAGGGCAAGAGAGTCTTACAAAATATGCTGTGGGAGCAAAACCAAATCCACCGAAGAACCCAAGAAGATCGCCAAAGAAAGGGAAAGTGACCCCAATGAATAGTGTAAAAGCTGAAACATTTTTAACAAGCTGAGGTCACATCAAGACTTAATATGGAAAGAATAATTATTCTGCTCCTTAGACTCTTTACAACTAAAGAAAAAAAGAAAAATATTAATTCCAGGTTTGATTTAGCTGCAATATGTAACCAGTAATAATATTTTATTAAAAAATAAAGTATTTATTATACTCTATATCTTTAAATTTTTTTATAAAAATTATTATATTTATATGGTTAAAATAAAGTCCTAAAGAGTAAAGTTAACAAAATAAAACAAAAATATCAGCATGGACTAGTGTTGAGTTTTGACATCTCACCAACATAAGCAGATCGAGCAACAAGTCTGAGTGCTAATCCTGGAGGAAAGTTCAATCTTCTAATCATCATCCTCTCAATCAGGTCAAAAACAGGCATAGCATAAACCTACCATTCGTATTTTCCCAACCAATCAGTTCCAAAACATGAATGAATAGCTTAATTTGGAGTAGAAACTCTTGGTTTTGCACTCATACCTGGTAGCTACCAACAACATGGATGAACACCATCAAGTTAGCAGAGGCAATAAGCCATGCAGGCCTTTCAAGTGCCATAAGCACATTATCATCAACAGCTTGCCCAAAAGCCCAGTATCCTACAAGTGCAACTGGGAAATAGCATATTGCATTGATGAAATAGGAACCAATAGCACCATTCCACATTGGTATCTTTGAGGGTTTCTCAGGGGTTGATGGAATTGTAGCCTGAATTTCAAGAACCACTGCATGGCCAGCAAATGCAAATGAGATTTGACCAAGTGCATTGAAGACCCTGAACATGAAGTCAGTGTTGCTGGTTTTCTTGTAAGCATAGCTAACATTGTCAATTCGACCTCTAGCCAAGCAAGCCACCCATGCTACAGTTGAATAGCTGCAATCAGAACCACATGAAAGTAAGGTATGGTATTATTAAGTTTTCTGGTACTTACTATCATTGCATTTCATTAAAACTATACCAAAATAGTAAGGAAAGAATTCAAAGAACAAATGCTCGTAGCTCATTGCTTAGCCCCATCAAAGTAGTATAATTTTAAACTATATATAATATCAAGATCCTGGTCAACGGAGTCATATGGCCTTGTTGGCTGTATGAATTCCATCTTAACTGGGACCAACAAGATTAAACAAAAAGAAGAAATGAAAAAATATCATCATGTACAAAATTCCCCTTGTAATTGATTCATCCTAAGTTCAAGCAAGGATCCTTTCCAAAAGTATGATATTATCTATCAAAAGCTGAGTTTACCAATTATTACCCTGGGTTTTGAATGCTGCCTTTAATCTTGGTTTATCTCATTTTAAAAGTAAACACTTTCCAAACTTACCCAGAGGGTGAAGATAATTATTTCTTTTACCTATATTTATCCTTTCTATCATTGTCTGAGTTGTTCTAGATCTTTAATATCTATCACATGGGTACATATTTTCTTTTGGCAAGAATCCAAATCATATTTTTTCCTGGGACCTTCTTGCATGGATATAAAATGTCAAGCTAGCTCCGCATGCATTCAGGATAGACAAATAATCAAGTTGAAAAGATAGTATTCAAGAAAAGACTAGACATGCACCTTAATGACATCACTGCTGCAGCTAAAGAAACCCCAGCAACAGAATTGAAATTGGGAAGCTGAGACAAGAGGAAATGGATGGCGCCAAAAATCAGAATCCAGTAAGACTGCCTGAGTTGCGTGCAATCGGTGCATGCTATTTCCATGAACTTCTTCAGGCACTTCCCCCCAGTAACCATGTAAACAATGTCACACCCAACCTGCACAATTAGTTGCTGGGGCAGCACAATCCATGGTCCAAGTTTTGGTCCAAAAGCATGTCGACCAAGGTCAAGATAGCGATCAAAACGAGTTCCTGGAACACACTCATGTAGCTGAATCATTTGCCACATTGTATTTAAGGTCAAACACCAAGATAACAACAACATCAAGATCCCTGGACCCCTGCAAAGAAGAGCAAAAGTAATTAACTTTCAGCTACAAATTTGTCAAGTTGCCAAATTTTGTGGTGGGTTTAAGCTACTTGTCTTAGTGTAATAGTGTCTTCTAATTTACCATCCTAGATATGCCATGGCATTGGGCAGGCTGAGAACACCTGCACCTATCATGGCTGTCACTGTGTGGAAAGTTGAGTACCACCATTTGGCCCTGCGAGAGGGGCCATTTTCCACCCATTTTTCTTCTGATTGAACTTCTTGCAACTGTAGAAGATGCAAAAACAGTAAGAGAACTAGTGCAAGAGGAATTATAGTTATAAAGATACACTGGAATGTAATATACCTTAGAAGGTGGAGAAGGAGTTGAGACCATTGTAGCTATCTTCACAAAGCAATGTAGAGAAAGAGGACTCCTAGGATTTTGGAGTTGAAGTGATGAAGCATATCAACTATATATATGTGGCGGTTGATGTGTAACAAAATTTGGTGTAATCATGAACTCATTCATTAACATCTACACCCTACCAATTAGTAGTTTTCTTGCCACCTGTGAATTTATTTTTGTTACTTATTGGAACCTGTGACTTTTAATCAGATCAAAACAAGAGAAGGTGTCTGAATTCAAAGAAAAAGTTTGGGAGACACAGCAAGTCTTCCAAGATAAGTGGCAAGATGAGGTAAACCCACTAAACTCAAACGTGAAAAGAAGATTATCTGAGGAATTAATTTTTTATCACTATGTGATTCTGATTATATTTAACTATACCTCAAATCCTGCCCAGTTACAATGTAAGTAACGTGTAGGGTATAGAGTAATGTTTTTCTTTGTGGCTGTCTTAATGAAAGATAACTCAGAATCATTTTGTTGATGGAACATCACTTCATTTGATCATTTCATGGTGGCGTTAAGGGGGCACCATAGAAAGTTCCCACTTTTTTAAACTGGGTTAAGTGAATTGGACAACCGGCCAAAGAATCAGAATTAAGAAGATCGCTTATATTAATGTGTAATGTGAAAATGATCAAATCTTGAAGCCAATGGTACATATGAAAAACTTATTTTATATTTGGAATAATGAGAACGTTTTGATGGCGAGAGAAAGGCATATAACCTTTAATCATTACATTTACTAACCACGGCCTTTTTTAATTCTTGTAAATAAGCCACTAAATTTAGGGTTAGTGATTGAACTTCATGGCATGCAATTAATGTTGTTAAAGATAGTGGAATATATATATATAAGTGCACCCCAAATAGCTGATATATGGAACAAAAATACTGCAAGAGTACAGCACGTACCACTAGAAAGCATGCTTCGTTGACTCAACACTCAACCACACAATACTAATAAGTAAGCCAAGACTTAAGCAACTCATCAGGAGTTTGCTTTCTTTTTTGTCTCAAAATTCGATTTAAATCCCCATTAATCTTACTTGAATAGAGAGTCACAAAATTTTGTCACGGATTGTTTTCTAGTTCAGAAGACATGAATAAAAAGGAAGTCAAATTTCTTATTAGTCATATCAGCATATATTAGTTTTAGGTAGGTTAATAATTACATGCTATCAAATAAGAAGTTAGAATTGTAATTTATAATTATAACTGTAATTTTAATTTTTCAAAATTAAATATTTCATAATTTAAATTGATTCAGAATTATATTTTTTATATTTAGGTTATGCAAAGAATTAGAGGGTAAAATTATAATTATAAGTTGAATTTAGTTAAGAAATTTAACTAAATAAAAGTAGTCATGTTAAGATTACGTTAAAGTTGAGTGATTAAGAAACTGATGAAGATGTGATATACTGACCTATTCATATATGTATTAATGTTAATTATTATTTGATAATTTTGTCGTAGGAGTCTAGAAACTAATTTTATTCACTCTTATAAAATGTATTGAATCTTTCTTATTTCTTAAAAGAGTATATCTATTATTTCTTTTTATGTAACTATTTGTCTTTTCTATTTTGTTACAATTTTTTTGAACGTTTATAACGAATAAAATAATAATTTTTAAAAAAATTTACTTAATTAATAGATTTTTTATTTTTATTAATTTAATCATTATTTAAATTTTTAATAAATAATGAAATATTTACAAATCACTATTAAAATAATAATATATCAATGTAAACTGTAGCAAAATATATCAATGTAAACAATTCTTAAAATTTTAAAAATTAGATATTTCCGTTCTATATATTTTTATGGCACATATTTGGTTTAAATATCATATTTAAAATTTTTTTAATTAATATATCCTAATGATTTTCGTGTATCTACGTGCACATCCTTCAACCAAGAAGTGAGAAAATGCGGTTAATTTTGAGAGGTAAGTTGAATTTCAGAAGTTTATAAAGAAAAAGATTATAAGGAATTGATCAATTTTTAGAAGGTTATATAGAGCTAAATTAAGTTTTCCTTTGGTAGAAAAAAAGATTAATATCAATTAAGTAATAGTATTTGATTTAATTTATTAAAAAACATACGGTGGTTCATATTTCATTGTCGTTAATTAAGTTTAATTGATTATTATATCTTTCAATCTTAACCCGAATAAATTTTATTTTTTTAAAAAAGGGACATATGTTTCTTTTCTTTTTTAAAAATGTCCATTTTAAAATAAAAAGAATAAATTCGTTCGGAGAAAAGAGCTTTAAAATATTGTTATTCTATTTTGGATGCTTTTGTTCAATTCCACTCGTCTCAATCTTACAACCTAAGGCCTAACTAAAGAAACGGTTGTTTTGTTCTCAGACAAGACAGAGAGGATTTTGATATATTATGAAAGAACTGTGGCATTGTATTAGTATTACAATATTTTGAAGCCGTACAATTATATATGCTCTTAATGATTTCAGGAATTAATAAATTAGAATTGCTGCAAAGTAATTAACATTATCTAGCGATTAATAAGAAAAGTCACATATTTTTTTCTATCTAAAATCTCTCTATTTTGTATAAGAAAATAAAATATTTTTAATATTTTTCTTTATTTTCTTACTTAATCTTTTTATCAAAATAAAAAAAAAATGTCTATGTCTATATTTTTATTGGCCTTACTCTTTATCGGGGATTGTTTCTTAAAAAGAGGACTTAGTCTGTGTTTAGTTAAATCTATTTTTTTCTGAAAAAATTATTTATTATTTTTTTCTAAGTAATGATTTATAAAAAGAATAATTTATCTAGGCATATATTTACTAGCTTATATAATCTTGTGAATATGAATTTTTAAATGAGAATGTTTTTAAAAAATTAGTCAAACAAAAATAGTTTTACAAATTTTTCTCTTTTTATTATGTTAATATTTTAAAAAAATAAAAATTTATTTATTAATTTATTTTCACTTTAAAAGTAACATTTTATTTTATATAATATAATCCTGATTATTAATAATTACCATGTTTTTCTTTTTGAATATATTAAATTTTAAAATAATCGTATAAAAAATTAATTTAATTAGTAATATTCGTACAATAAAAAATCACTAATTAGTTGAACGAGAGAATTAAACGGAAACACGTGGAAAATATAAATGTCAAATCAAATTTCTTTAACGGGTGAAGCAACAGGAGCGGATTCATAAAATGATTAATATATGATCTTTTCCTTTAATTAATTTCATAAACTTTTCCTTTAATCTAAGGCATAGATGCTCTTTTCCTTTTGGCTAATCGAATCGTAAAAGTGTCATCAATATTTATTAATCAAATATTATCCGTAAGAACCCTAACCTATGATTGAAATGTGATCCATTCAAACCTAATTTCAAATTCCTAAACACCAATATTTTTGTTTTTTGTCAATAGCCCAAACTCTACTATGTCATTTTGTTTTGCTTGTGTTGTGGCTTTGAAGTTGGACCGAATGGAAGCCCATCTAGGAGGAGAGACACCTTTTTAATTAAACATACTAAGGCCCACAAAATCGGTAACTTGCTTAGGAGAAGTAGGCCATGTTATGGACCAAAAACGTAAAAATAGGTTCTGTAAAGTAATTTGAGCCCTGTTCTTTTGCGACCCAAAGGCCTAAACAATACTATCTCCACCTCCACACATGCTCCCTGGAAAAAAGGGGATGGCTGTAAACAATAATGGGCTACTTACAGTACACTAGATGTTTTCCTCAGAAAAGGCCCAACTAAAGTTAGATGCAAAAAACTAAAAGAAAAAAAAATTACCAGAGAAAGATGATTTAAGATGAAAGGTGTTGTTGACAAAAAAAAAGAAAAAAGAATAGATGAAAGATTTAACAACTGGCAAAGATTAAAAATATGGATTGAGTGATCTTTTATACGATTTTTTGTACAGGCATACATTAACTTCCTTGGAGCATATTTAATTTCTCACTTTTATTTATTTATTTACGATCTATAAATTTTTTTGGTTTTGAGGATATTTAAACTTACAATAAAGGGGATATTAGTTGAAATTTTCAATCAAGCATGAGTTTATCAACTCTCAATAATCTACAAGGAGAGTATCAGTTACACTTTTAACATTTAAAAATAAGTTACAATAATGAACAAGATTGAGTTGTTTAAAGGCTGTTTTGGTAGGAGGGAAAATATTAAAAAATTGTAAATGAATGAGTGAAATAGATAATATATAATATTTGTTATTTTCCACATGGATTATAGAATTGTTAAGTATGTGAGGCACGTAGGGTAAGTATAGGAATTATTTTTTCGATGAACAAAGTACTGATCTTGAGGGTATAAAAATTTTCAAAATTTATTAGTTTGGAAATTGAACTCTTCCATGAGTAGTGGATTCTTTCATTTTGAAGATTTAGCACAAGATTCATTCTTGATATCGAAATACAGGTGTTCTTGAGAGGGGGTAGTTCTCAACTACTCTTTCAAACTGAACAATTAACATGATAGCCATTTGGGGGTTGTGTTGTGTAAAGAGGGAATGGATCTTGCCTTCAAAATTAATCAAACAAAATATAATACTTTTCATTTATACTTTACTTCCTTTTTCAATATTTTTACGTCATTCTGCATTACTATAGGCTTTAACCCTATCAATTGCTATGTCCCCGTCAACCATGACAGTGAAACTTGAACTTCTTCAATTTACATTCATTGATGGGAGGCTCCTGTTTATGCTTTATTTTCTCTATTTTAAGACGCTGAATAAGAAATTAAAAATAAAAATATTTTGTTAAAAAAAATATATAAAAATTTACCTACTCCTATGTTCTTTTAATACATTTGAACACAATTTCAAAAAAGAAACTATTTATTAATTTTTAACCAATATCTTAAAAGCATTTGTAACATCGTTCTTATATCAAGTGATTATTTCACCAATCAGATTAATGATAGATGTTGAAGATAATTGAGTCAGCTTAAGCTCTCA